TTAAAAATTTAATAAAAAATAAAACTATGGCCTCATGTTTGGGGTCAAGTGGTTAGTGGAAGCTAAAAGAGCCATGAGGAGACTTTATTAAAAGCCCGCAGGGCCTCAAGGAGATGAAGGCTTAAAGGAAAATGTTATAGGAAGCTAAAGGAAAAGAAACACTGTTTCAGAAGGTTTAGCAACTCTATCACCAGCAGTAACAAAAAATTAATGGGCCTCCTGGCTAAGTCTTTTAGGCATCTGACTTCAATCTCAGGTCATGATCTCAGGGTCCTGGGTCTGGCTTGCATTGGGCTCCACGCTCAGCAGGGAATCTGTTTATCCCTCTCCTGGGCCCCTCAGAGTCTCTCCATCATGTGCATGCTCTCTCCAATAAATAAATAAAATCTTTTTTAAAAAACATGAAAACTTGAAATCAAATCCAGGGTAGATCTGTAAGATTCTTTGTTATGATATCAGAAATATTTAAAGTAATACCTCATTGACCTTTTCAGACAAAAGGCCTCCTAAAGATTCTGCAGGCATGCCTAACTGATCTTTCCCTGTTAAAAACAAAACAAAACAAAACAAACAAACAAACAAAAACACAGAACTTAGAAAAATCTGAGAGTATTATCCTATAGCAACCTCACAAGAAGGCCAACCAGAAAAGAAATTATCTTGAAGAGATTTATGGATACAGTTTTTATCCTTTTTTTTTTTTTATGATAGTTACACAAAGAGAGAGAGAGAGGCAGAGACACAGGCAGAAGGGAGAAGCAGGCTCCATGCACCGGGAGCCCGACGTCGGATTCGATCCCGAGTCTCCAGGATCGCACCCTGGGCCAAAGGCAGGCGCCAAACCGCTGCGCCACCCAGGGATCCCGATACAGTTTTTATCTAATGAAGTGGATTTTATGCTGATACATAAGTTTATAAAGGAAATATATGAGCCTGAACTAAAAGGGATATAAACAATACAAAAGGAAAAAAGGATTTAGACCGTCAAACTTCTAGAGGCAATCAGCCAGCAAGCTGGGGTGCAACTGCAATCCAAGCTACTTTTTGTGAAATGGAAGGATTATTCAGAGGGTAGAACTAAGATCCTAGAGAACAACAACAAAATCCCTGGAGAAATATTGAGCTCCCAATAAGTAATACTGAGTTCTAATCAAGAAACTAGCAAAATGCTCAGCTAGTGATTTCAGAACTGCTATGGATCAATGACTGCTGTGTGCCTCTCATTCCCTTCTCTCTCCCAACCTCCTCTGCTCCATCTTTTGAATGAGAGTATATATCTTGTCCCCATAATCTTAAGTTGATAGAGAGGCAGGTAATTGGTCTCTTTAGTTCATAAAAGTCTTCAGATAAGAGAAACTGTACTTAAGGAGTGAACTTAAGAAACAACGATTGAAAGCCACATTCATACATAGATCTGAGTTATAGTCTTGGACTATAAACTGATGCTGTACTGGGATGAAAGTTTGGGGGTCCTGAGGAAAGGAGGCAGCATATTTTGCATAGGGAATGATGTAAATTACTGTGGCCAGAGGGTGGAATGCGGCAGACAGTTTTTTCCAAAGATGAAAGCAGTAATATCTTTTATTGAGAAGTAGAGTCTAATCTTTTTCTTTTGAGTCTGGGTAGGCTTATTACCTGGTTATAACCAAAAGAGCAGCATAGAAGTGAAACTGTAACTTCCAAAGTTGCATAAAAGGCAATGTAGCTTCCACCCAGTTTGCTATTTTAACTGCAGCCACTATCTGACTGCAACTGAAATTGATGAGTCTAAAATTTTTATGAAAATGCAAAGGTCCTAGAGTAATCAAAATAATTTTTTAAGACAACAAAGTTGCAATTCTTGTACTACCTGATTAAAACTACATTAATTATGATTTTGAGCAAGGACAGACAGTTATTAATGTAATACAGTCCAGGGATGCCCAGGTGGCTCAGTGGTTTAGGTCTGCCTTTGGCTCAGGGCGTGATCCTGGAGTCCCAGGATCAAGTCTCACATCTGGCAAGATCAGGAGTTGGATGCACAACTGACTGAGCCACCCAGGCACCTATGTTAACCATCTTAAAGTGTAGGATTTAGTGGTATTAAGTACATTTATATTGTTCTACAACCATCTCCACTCTCCATAACCAAAACTTTTTCATCATCCCATATTGAAACTCTATCCCCATTAAACCATCACTCCATTACTTCCTAGCTCTTGGGAACCACCATTATTCTACTTTCGGTCTTGATGATTTTAACTACTTTAAGTACCTCATATAATGGAATCATATAGTATTTGTCCTTTTGTGACTGAATTATTTCACTTAATATAATCTCCTCAAGATTCACTCGTACTGTAGCATGTGTCAGAATTTCCTTCCTTTTTAAAGCTGAATAATATTCCATTGTATGCATCTATCACATTTTGCTTATTCCTTCATCCATCAGTGGATACATAGGTTGTTTCCACATCTTTGCTATTTATGAGAAATGATACTATGAACATGGCTGCATGTCATGTCAAGACCCTACTGTCGGGATCCCTGGGTGGCGCAGTGGTTTGGTGCCTGCCTTTGGCCCAGGGCGCGATCCTGGAGACCCCGGATTGAATCCCACATCAGGCTCCGGGTGCATGGAGCCTGCTTCTCCCTCTGCCTGTGTCTCTGCCTCTCTCTCTCTCTCTCTCTCTCTCTCTCTCTCTCTCTCTCTCTCTGACTATCATAAATAAATAAAAATTAAAAAAAAAAAGACCCTACTGTCAGTTTGAGTATACATCCAGAAGTGGAATGGCTGGATCATACGGCAATCCAATGTTTTAACTTTCTGAGGGATTGCCATACTGTTTTCCATAGCATCTGTGTCATTGTACATTCTTGCCAGCAGTGCACAGGGGTTCCAACTTTTCCATATCCTTGCTAACACTGGTTCTTTGGTTGTTGTGTGTTTTGTTTTGTTTTGTTTTGTTTTTTTAGTACTAGCCATTCTAAATGCGTGTGAGATGATACATTATTGTAATGTTGATTTACAATTCCCTAGTGATTAGTGATTTTAAGCATCTTTTCAGGTGCTTATTGGCCATTTATAGATCTTCTTGGGAGAAATGTCTATTTATATCTTTTGCCATTTTTGAGTCAGTTTAGTTTTTGCTGTTGAAATTTTAGGAGTTTTTTTTAATATATTCTGGATATTGATCCCTCATCAGATACATGGTTTGCACATGTTTACTCCCATTCCATGGGTCGTCTTTTCACTCTGTTGACAGTGTCTTTTCATGCCCACAGTTTTTAAGTTTTCATGAAGTTCAGTTTGTCTTTTTTTTTCTTTTATTACCTGTGCCTTTGGTTTCCTAAGAGATCATTGCCAAACCCAGTGTCATGAAGTTTTCCCCTTATGTTTTCTTCTAAGTTTTATATAGTTTTAGATTTTACATTTAGGTCTTTGAACCATTTTTGAGTTAATGTTTGTATATGGTATAAGGTAAGGGTCCATTTTCATTCTTTTGCCTGTGGAAATTTGATTTTCCCATCACCACTTGCTGAAGAGACTGTCCTTTTCCTATGAATGGTATTGGTACTCTGGTTGAAAATCCTTTGACCATGTATTTGAGGGTTTATTTCTCTGCTCTCTATCCTTTCATTGATTCATACGTCTGTCTTTATGCCAGTTCCACATTGTTTTGATTACTGTAGCTTCATAGTAAGTTTTGAAATCAGGAAGTGTGTGTCCTCTTTTGTTCTTTTTCAAAATTATTTTTGCCTATTTTTGTAAACAGCATTGTACTAGAACACAGTTATGTTTGTTCACTTATATGTTTAAGTATGACTGCTTTTGAGCTACTCTGGAAAACTTGAGTAGTTACAACAGAGACCTTATGATCCACAAACCTAAAGCATTTATTATCAGGCTTTTCATAGAAAAAGTTTGCCAATATCCGAACATTTAAGCTCTTCGCTCATTTCCCCAACTGAAGTGGATTGTACCATAAATAAATAAATCAAAAGGAAAAATAATTTGTACAAAGATATTTATGCCATTGTAGACGCAAATAAAAACTAAGAACTAGTCTGAATGACAAAGCATTCTGTGATATACTGATAGCCTGCCATTAAAATGATGAGTATGTGGACTATGTCAAAGAAATACTTATATGTATGTAATAAGTGACCAAAGCAGAACACAAAATGATGTGTATTCATTGGTTACCAGGATAAAATATGCAAATGTATATTAACAAATGTGGAAAAGTTGAGATCTAAATAGTTTAGAGATTAGTGCTTATTATATTTTCTGTTAAAATTTCTAAAATTAAACAGCCATGAAGTTTTTATTCTGGAAAATCTCAAATGAAATAAAAAGAGACAGTAGTAAATGAACCCTGTATTTCTCAGTATTCTCTCCAGTAGTTGTGAATACAAGGCTAGTCTTGTTTAATCTGTTTCCCCCCAACCTTGGATTATTTGGAAGTAGATCCTTATGTTGTAACACTTTATCGGTAAACTTCATAGTGTATTTACTCAATCTTCTCCTAGAAGCAAAAACAAAAACAAACACAATACCATTATCGCATCTAAATTTTTTAAATCAGTAATTCCTTATAACATGAAATATCCAGATAATCCCTGATTATCGTTTAAAGATTATTTTTACTGCCAGTTTGCTATAAAATCCATACAAGTTCCACATTTAGTTCATTTGTCTTTTAAATCTCTTCAATCTGAACTTTCCCTACCTCTTTTTTTCTTTTTTTTTCTTGCAACTTGCTTGCAGAAGAAAAGGATTCAGTTGTTATTGTAGTTTTGTGCATTTCTAGATTTTGCTGATTGCATCCTTGTGGTCTTGCTTAACAAATTTAACATAATTCTTTTGTTTTCTAAAAACCATGGACATTATCTTTATTACGTTGTCAACTGATTCAAATACATCAATACATTGTCAGTTGGTTTTTTGCTTGGAAGTCAGCTACCTGGATGTTCTAATACTGCTTTAACCACATCTTGGTGTCTCAGCTAAGAATGCCTCAGTTCACCTGGAAATCCACCACAGGTACTGGCTGCTGCTGAAATCGCTTCGGGTACAGATGACACTCTTGGTTGCTCAGTGAGGCTGTCCTTCTGCGTTTGACTTGGACTTCCACCTCTGGTACGTGCTGTCCTGTAGTATATCTCAGGTGTAAGCGATCCCTGGCCTGCTCCATCACACAGCTGGTCACTCCTTAGAACAGAGTGTCAGGCATCTCCAGTGGCCACTCCACTCTGTCAACATGGTCCTTTTTCCCTGTATTTTTGCAAACCAGTAGTGAGATCTCAAGGTGTGTTGAGATTCAAGTAATGTTTTGGCACACATACATAATAGCTGTAGTGTATACATCCTATTGGATAACATCAGGAGGCATATAGTAAGACTTGGAATTCACTGAACTTTGTTTATACAGATGGGATTGGGAAGGAAGAAGAAGAGGTGGAACAGCTAGAGAAAGGGTCCTGGAAGTGCTTATATCTCATACCCCCAATGAGTGAAACAAATTTTTCTTTCAACGTTCCTCATTTGCCTAGTCATATTTGTCGTGGTGGTGTTCATAACTCATTCCTGAGAAGCTTATGTAAGTGTTCATTGGTGTTTATATAACTCTGGTGATTGCTGCTCACAGCTGGCTCACGTGAAGGAGAAAGTTCAGGGGTATTTGCAACCAGATCTGATTCTATGATCCTGCATTTGGGTGGTAATAATCATTGACTTTTAAACCACATGTCTCATTACCTCTTTGTTGACTCTTTTCTCTTTTTCATTAGTGGCTTTTGGTAGATTATATTTCAGAATTTTAGGGAGGGCTATTTTTTTGAAGGAGAAAGTTCAGGGGTATTTGCAACCAGATCTGATTCTATGATCCTGCATTTGGGTGGTAATAATCATTAACTTTTAAACCACATGTCTCATTACCTCTTTGTTGACTCTTTTCTCTTTTTCATTAGTGGCTTTTGGTAGATTATATTTCAGAATTTTAGGGAGGGCTATTTTTTTGAAAGTTAAATTTATTTTAACTAGGTTGTAAATTCACATGGTACGTTATTCAGAAGATACAAAAGAGCATGCAGTGGAAAGTTACATTTTGATTTAGGGAAAATTAATTATAGAATTTTTGAAATAATAATTTATTAACAAGAATAGTTTAAGATGTGGTACAAAATGTTTTGTAAAAACCAGAAACTTCATAATAAGCATCATGAAGCAGCAATGAAGCACTTGTAAAACATTGACTTACATTACAACAAACTTTAAATATTAGTACATCTATAAACTAAAACTCTTTAACAAATAAATAATAATTGTTGAACCCAGAAGCTGAAGATTCATTCAAAGAATACCAGTTGGTAAGAAGCCGGTTTGGACCTGTATCCTCAGTGTAAAGGGGAAACCTTTGTCTCTACTTTGTCTCTACTATGTGTATGTGAGAATTGTGTATACTATGATCATTTTAAAATTGCTTCTGTACTTGGCCACATTCAACCCTGATTCAAACAGGAATTATAGCGAGACCTCACAAGTTGGATGTTTGTGAATTTGTGATATTGAAAAGTTATCAGATTCTGTCTTTCTCCCCCCAGAAACAGTCGTCTCTACAAGACAGAAACCAGAAAAAGGAAATACAGCAGTTGGCAACAAATTTCCACTGCCCAATAAACCAAGTTCAGATTCTAATCTGACATTCAAGGCCTACCCTCTATACTGTGACTCTGTCCTATCTGCCTACTCTCTAACTTTGCTTCCACCTGTTCCCTCCAAGTGGTTACTCAATAAATTTGCTTGTGAAATAGAAACAAAAGGCCTTAAGGCCAGGAGAACATCAAATTTCATTATCAGAACCAGGTCAGAGGACCTAGCAAAACACCAAGTTGTAGTGTACCAACCCAGCCTCATGTAATTGTATAGGGCAAGCTGCAGTGTTGATGGAAGTAGCCATTTAGCAAGAGAGATCCCCTCTTAGGGACTCTGCTGTCCAGCCACCTATTCCTTTGGGAGGAAGAATATAATAGCCTCCTCCTTTAGGAGGGAAAAATTGAGGGCTATGAGTTAGGAGAGAGATGACAATAATATGTGATAATGCCATGGAAATATTAGCTCTTTTGAGGGGCGAGAGGCCTGAAGGAATGGTAATTCTTCTTAAGGAAAACAGAATTGCTGACTTTTCCTCTTGTGCTTCAGGAGGAAATAGGAGAGGACTATTTGATGGGAGGATAATAAACTTGAGAGGGCAGCCAGTGAGACTTGCAGCTCTTATGGAGCTTCTCTTTTAGTTCTTGTGTCTGGCTGGACACACAAGCAGTAGCACCTTACTTTCTCAGTGGGTGGAAGATGTGCACGAGCCAAGGTTCCTGTTGCATTCCCAATGCTCTTTGTCACCCTGGACTCTGCTGTCTTTGGGACGCCTTTTTACAAAAGGCCTGCTGTGGATCCTGTGGTAATGGAGAGGGGAGTGTGATGTTTTAACTTCTCCCTCCTGTTAATGGTATTGCATTACCGCTCATGAACATTTTTTGACTGGTGCCTCCCTTCGCCATTTCCCCTTTGCTTTTCAAAAAGCAAAAGTTATTTAACTAAAAACCTTCAGTGGCCACTCAGCATGAGGGCCAAGGAAGATGCTTCCACTGCTGCTGCAGGAGAGTAAATCACCCTGGGTACTGACATGTGAGTGTTGTGTGCATTTGTGCACACATGTCCACACCCACTACCCTCCTCCAGCCCCAAATTTTACATTGGCTACATTAACTTCCTCTCCTTACCAAACGGTTGTCAGTGGAATGTAGAAGGCTAGGAAAAAAGGGTCTTGGAAGTAGTCCTCCCTGGGACAGGGGTTGATGTCTGTGCCAGCATCCAGGAAGGTTTTTGGGTCTACACCTCAGTCTGCCTTGGATAAGGGGTTATTCCCTGGGGAGAGGTAGGGAAGTGGTTGTTGGGTTGGGAGGCCCCTCCTGCTGCTGTTTTGCTTAATTAATTTTAGCCAGTATTGAACTGCAGGTATCTTTCCAACTATTCCACCTTGTCTAAAGTCTCTATTCCTCTTGCTTATGCTCCTATATCTCCCTAGAATGTTTTTTCCCCCTTGTAGTAGTTGGTGCCTACTTACTGTATTAGATTAAACCCAGGTTTCACCTTTCAAGGAAGCACTCTGCCCCCCATGCCCAGCCCTAGGCAAGGCTGGATTGGGTGTCCTTTCCCCAAGATTTGTTGCTATTAGGCGCTCACCTCATGTGTTTTCCCATGTGCATCATTCCATTGTGCCTTGGCGCAGAGCTGGTACTCAAATGCTCATATAAATGCTCATTTAGTGTGTTAGGCTAAACTAAAAGGCAAGGGGCAGGAAAAGGCATCAGTGGCTAGTTTGCAGTAGTCTCATTCAGAGAGGTTTAGAATAAAGATGTGGTCAATAGTCTCATGTGGCTGGTGGTATGTGTGTGAGGGGTATACACACAAATGCGTATTTGTAAGAAACACTTTGTGAGAACAAAGCAGTTTATGTCATTTCTCCTCCTTTTGCTTTCTTATTTTCTGATTTTTGATTAGGATAAAAAAGTTAAAGTTTGAATTTTCCACACAAATAAATATTACTATTCTGCATGGCTGACTAAGCCCTGTAGCTTTGCTGCTAGACAGTTCAATGTCGTTGGGAGTATGAAGTTCCAGGGAGTGTGCAGACCTGGGTGTAAAAAAGAATATTTTCCTGAAGAGAGCTATTGACATCCCCATTTTACAAATGTGGGGAACTATGGCTCAGAGAAATTGAACTTGTGAACATGGAGCTAGTAAGTAAGTGACAGAGCCAGGATTCAACACTAGTACTGCCTATGAAGCTCATTCTGTTAACTGTCTGCTCCTGTGTTTCTGCTTGTTTATGATATACCCATAGACCAGCTATTTCTTTTTTAACTTTTTAGGGCTTTGTTTTTCTTTTTTTTTTTAATTTTTATTTATTTATGATAGAGAGAGAGAGAGAGAGAGAGGCAGAGACACAAGCAGAGGGAGAAGCAGGCTCCATGCACCGGGAGCCCGATGTGGGATTCGATCCCGAGTCTCCAGGATCGCGCCCTGGGCCAAAGGCAGGCACCAAACCGCCGTGCCACCCAGGGATCCCTAGGGCTTTGTTTTTCAAATTTAGAATGAAGGGAGCAAAATTCACCTTGCAGTTATTAAAAAAGAAAGGAGATAAGAAACCAAACCCATTCCTTGTACCTGGAATGGTAGTAGTTCTAGAAAAAGCAGCAGCTGTTTTATATGGTATTTATTACATGTCGAGCATTGTTCCAGAGCTTCATCTAGGCTACCTCACATAACCATCTCTTCAACCATCAGACTGAGGAATAGCATGACAGTTGTTATTCCCTTATTATAATTGAGGAACAAATAAGGGACAGAGCTGACATTCACACCCCAGAAGTCTGGTTTCAGTGTCCATAGTGAACCCCTGTGCCTGGTTATCTCTCAGGAAACGTTAGTTTCCAACACCATGCTGTTCTAGAACCTGGCATCAATATGAAAGAGATCATAAGGAACTCACAATGGTAATAGAGGTATACTAAACCACAGCAGGTAAGCAGTGATGGAGTGTCTGGGACACTCATGATTCTGTGACTTGCCACTGGCTGATGAGATGGTCCATTTGTTGTTTTTTTGGTGATTAAGTGCATATGGTGATGACTTATGGTATGTTTTTCCTTTGGTGTGGGGACATCAGCTTACTGGTTCACTCATTGAGGCCTATGGCAACACTGTATCTTTTACCAAAGCCTACAGTATTCAGTGTTTCTTATTTACCCCCCTTTGGCATCTGAGTCCATACTGACATAAAAAAGTTTTTGAATATGTAAATGAGGTAAATGAGGGAGGGAGAAGGGACAAAATCTTCCTTACAGAAGAGAAGGATTCCAAATAATAAATGTAGACACGAAGAGGGAAATAGCCACCATTAGAACACCATAGTAATAATTTCTCCAGGCAAGATCCATTGATGAATGTTAAAACTGGTGGGTAAATTTTTAGAAACAGGATATTTGCATTCTCAAAGCCTCACAGTTCCCTACCACTCCAAATATTTTCACTGGTTTAACATATGTCCAGAAATTCTTTGCCCGTCTCAGGATATAGCACTTAATTCTCTTCCCCTTGAATGTGGACTGGGCTTAGTGATTTGCTTCTAATGAATAAAAATATGGAAAAGACAAAGTAGTAATTTTATAGTGAAGAAATCTGGCAGACACCACTTTAAACAAGTGATCAAGGTTAATATCACCAGTAATAAGTCATATTGATATCATGTATCCTGGTAAGATGTCATGAGAAAGACACTTTACTTCTGTGGTTTAATCATGAGAAAATATTAGATGTTCAAATTAGGGGACAGTCTACAAAACACCTGATTAGTACTTTTCAAAAAACTGTCATAGTCATGAAAGACAAAAATAGCCTGATAAACTGTCACAGTTTAGAGAGACTGAGACATGAGAGCTAGATGCAGTATGATATCCTGAATGGAATCCTATAACAGAAAAAGGATATTAGTGATTAGTGGAAAACTGGTGAAATCCAAATAAACTTTAAAGTTTAGTTAAAAACATGGGGTGCCTGGGTGGTGTGGTTGGTTGAATGTCTGACTCTTGACTTCGGCTCAGATCATGACCTTGGGGTTGTAGGATTGAGCCCCCTTTCAGCCTCATGGTCAGTGCAGTTTGCTTGAGGTTCTCTCTCCCTTTCCCTCTGCCCCTCTTGCCTATGCTCTCTTTCTCTAAAATAAATAAACAAATCAGGGCACCTGAGTGGGAGTGATTGAGCATCTGCCTTTGGCTCATGTAGTGATTCCTGGGTCCTGGGATTGAGTCCCACATCAGGCTCCCGGTGGGGAGCCTGCATCTCTCTATCTCTCTCATGCATAAATAAATAAAATCTTTAAAATAAATATATAAGCAAACAAGCAAATCTTTAGTTAAAAAACAAACAAAAGGGACACCTGGGTGGCTCAGTGTTTGAGTGTCTGCCTTTGGCTCAGGGCCTGATCCCAGGGTCCTGGGATCGAGTCCCACATCTGGCTCCCAATGGGAAGCTTGCTTCTCCCTCTGTGTCTCTCATGAATAAATAAGTAAAATCCTTAAAAAATTTTAAAAAATAAAAATAAATTACAGCAAACAAAAAAAAAATCCCACCAAAACCCCAGACTTCCTGAGTCCTTCCTGCCTGCCTGAAAGCCAAGTTCCATTGACACCTTAGTTACAGCATTTATGATCTAGTTTTTTTTTTTTTTTTTTAAATTTATTTATTTATGATAGTCACACAGAGAGAGAGAGAGAGGCAGAGACATAGGCAGAGGGAGAAGCAGGCTCCATGCACCGGGAGCGCGATATGGGATTCGATCCTGGGTCTCCAGGATCGCGCCCTGAGCCAAAGGCAGGCGCCAAACCGCTGCGCCACCCAGGGATCCCTAGTTTTTTTTTTTTTTTAATTTAATTTATTTATTCATGAATGACACAGAGAGAGAGAGGCAGAGACATAGGCAGAGGGAGAAGCAGGCTCCATGCAGGAAGCCCGATGTGGGACTTGATCCCGGGACTCCAGGATCACGACCTGAGCCAAAGGCAGACTTCAACCGCTGTGCCACCTAGGCATCCCTATGATCTTGTTTTAAATTGCTCTTACTTTTGGGGAAGACCTTTTAGTTGTGTAGTGCTTATAGTTGGGAGGCTCTGGTGGATTTGGGGACAGGCTTACGGTCTGTGTGACTGTCAAGGCTTGCCCATCCAGTAAACAGAATGCTGCTCAGCAGACCGAGGAAGAGGGATGTGCACACGGATCCTCCTACACCAACCCCAGTCTTTGCTGGTGTTTGATGCCACAAATGACATTCTTTCTGCCAGGAATTTCCTCGTTTCCGCCCCCCCCCCCTTAAGGCAGTATCTTTAGACATTGCCACTTTACAAGGCCTCACTCAGATTTTACCTCTCAAAAATTCTTGTGTGATCACACCACAAAGTAGTATCTTCCATATTCTTGTGACCCTAAGGCAGTTATTCTTGATTTAGCTAATTATCTCTGGCTAGAAAAGTAATGTCTTACATTTTGAAGTTCTTTAGGTCAGTTAGCCTGCCCTTCCTGTGGTGGTTAGCACATCTTGCCTTATTATCTCTAGAAAACAAACTTCTTACAAGGAAGAGGTCTTCTAAACATCCCTTGAAGCATCTTGAAACAGTTTGGCATGTTGGAGGCCGTCATTAAATGGCCAGTGAATTGAAGGAGTGAATGTGGGGCACCTGGGTGGCTCAGTGGCTGAGCGTCTGCCTTTGACTCAAGTGGTGATCCCTGGATCAACTCCTGCATTGGGCTCCCTGCAGGGAGCCTGCTTCTCCTCTGCCTATGTCTCTGTTTCTCTCTGTGTGTCTCATGAATAAATACATAAAATCTTAAAAAAAAAAAAAAGAAGGAATGAACGCTTTAGGACCCTGAAAGGAGGGATATTTCTCTTGTTGGCAGATGAGACACAAATGAGTGTGAGCTGAATTTGGAATCTACTGCCCCTTTCAGAGCATTCTGAGGCCATGAAGCTTCCTCACTCTGAGCAGAGTGCTAAATTAAAGCAAGCGTGATGGCTATCATTTGTTGTGAGCCTACTCTGGAGCAGCGTGGTTCTAGACATGCACACTAGTTCTCATAACAATTCTGAAATGTATACATCACTCCTCTCATTTTATAGATCAGCCCACTGAAATTCAAAGAGCTTTAAGTCATTTGCCCTAGCTTACCAGCTAATAAGTTGCTGAGTTGAGATTTGAACCCAGGTTTGCCTGGCATCAAAACCAATTTTTCTCCCTGTAAAGTTCAGTCCCTGGCACCTTTCTCTCTTTGTCTTTTCAGACCCATCCCTGGAAGACATGTGTGGCACTGAGTGTGCCCAGCTGGACGAAGATGGGCAGCGGCCACCACGGTGCACTTCAACTACCTCATCTCAGTCTGAGCCTTCAGAGCAGCTTAGGCGCCACCAAGGCAAGAGCCTAGCCTCCGAGGACCCCAAAAAGAAGAGAGCTCAGAAGCCCTCCCATATGAGGAGAAACATACGGTGAGCTGTGCTCAGGATAAGAGGAGAAGGGAAGGAATAGAGGCATTACTTTCATTTGAAGTCTGTCAGTAGCAGGACTGGTTTGAGCAAGAGAGTCCCTTTATCAAAGAAGAAAGGTGTAATCTGTGTTCCTGATTTATAGAGAGATGCAGCTCAGGACAACCTCATGCTGTGAGAGGTTATGGGCAAACGTGGTTGGTGCTCAAGCTGTGCTGGGGAGTCTCTTACTCTCTGGAGGCTCTGGGGGCAGCCTAAAGATGATAGAGAACTCTGGTTGGACTCTGTTTTTTCCTTTATTTTTCCCTTATGTTTCAAAACAGGAGGAGATAGGGATGCCTGGGTGGCTCAGTGGTTGAGCATCTGCCTTTGACTCAGGGCATGATCTTAGAGTTCCAGGATTGATTCCCTCATTGGGCACTCTGCATGGAGCCTGCTTCTCCCTCTGCCTGTCTCTACCTTTCTCTGTGTCTCTCATGAATAAATACATAAAATCTTAATAAAAACAAAACAAAACAAAAAACACAGGAGGAGATAAGTTGAATCCTCATTTTCTTAGAGCTCACCTTCATTTGGTAGGAACTGTCTGGTCCAAAGCAGGGCTTTTTCCTTGACCTAAGTGAGTGGCAGATGTGAGCTTCCTTAACTGTCCAGATCTCTCACAGCCCTTCCTTCTGCCACATAACCCTTTTTGCTATTGAAAGGAGATCACCGAGATCTTTTTCTCCTCCTACTTTCATTTTTTTTAAAAATCATAATGATAGCTTAAAAACATTACTTAAAATTTAGGAAATAAAGATGCAGAATCATCTATAACCCTACTTTCCCATATAACAACTCTATTTTAAATATTGTTTTTCAATTTTATGAATCACGAATTGCTCTGTTTTGTTCTTGGATCTGTTATGTGCAGAGATGAACCTTCAGGGGGGGGAATCCCTGAGTGGCTCAGTGGTTTGGCGCCTGCCTTTGGCCCAGGGAGTAGTCCTGGATTACTGGGATTGAGTCCCACATCAGGCTTCCTGCATGGAGCCTGCTTCTCCCTCTGTCTCTCTACCTCTCTCTCTCTCTTTCTCTCTCTCTCTGTGTGTCTCTCATGAATAAATAGATAAAATCTTAAAAAAAAAAAAAGATGAATCTTCAGTGGCATGTCTCAGGAAGTTAAATAATATGGAAAAAATGTTGGCCCAGAATCACCTGAGCCTTGAAGTCCTTTTTTTTTTTAAACCTTGCCTATTGCATGGATGTGTGGGGACTGACGGAGCTTCTCCTTCTCTTGCCTCAGACTTCTGAGCTCAGCAGTGAGCTCTTTAGTTTGACATTATGTTGCCCAAATCTCAAGTAAACCAACCCAAATGCTCACTCTTATTGTAATATTTAGAAAGCTGCTCCGGGAGGATCAATTGGAGCCGGTTACCAAAGCAGCACAACAGGAAGAGTTGGAAAGAAGGAAACGCCTGGAGCAGCAGAGGAAGGATTATGCAGCTCCCATTCCTACAGTTCCCCTGGAGTTCCTTCCCGGTAAGCCAGGGGCAGTGGAGGTGGTGGGAGGAGAGGCCCTTCAGTGTAGGGAGAAGAGGCCTTGGACACACAGTGGTGAAGGGCATATCTGAAATAAAACCGTGGGAAATAAGACCATGGCTGCTCAGTCATTCAGTTTTCTAGGAGCAAATGATCAGAAACATCTAAAAAGTTAAATGAGTAAAAATGTACCCCTCAGGGGCCCCCGGCTGGCTTAGTGGGTAAAACATGTGACTCTTGATCTCAGGGTTGTGAGTTCAAGCCCCACATTGGGCATAGACTTTACTTTAAAAAAAAACAAAATAAAGCAATAATGATAATAAGTGGGTTTTTAAAAAATATACTCCTCAGATTGACCTATTATTTAGATTTTTTTTTCTCCCATAATTTTGGATCATAACCTGCCAAGGGATTAGGATCTCTTCTAGTGGTCAGGTGGACACTCAGAGGTGAGAACTAGTAAAGACAAGGGAAGTTAGGGGGACAGAAGGTGATTGAGACACCCCCCTCTAATTCTCTCCTCAGTCCCCTTGAAAGCAACAAAGAAAGAAACTGATGAATCATTTGGGGAGATGGGTTTGAGCTAAATGTGGTTTTCACATTCCTTTCCATCTTTCCTTCCCTAGAGGAAATTGTCTTAAGAGCAAGCGATGGTCCCCAGCTGCCTCCTCGGGTGCTGGCCCAGGAAGTCATTTGTTTGGACAGCAGCAGTGGCAGTGAGGATGAAAAAAGCAGTAGAGATGGTAAGGTTGAGCCAGAGGTACCTCTACTTTCTCCTTACTCAGTGTTCACCCTGAGTAATTGGCTGTACCTCTGAATAAAAATTAGTCCTTCTCCATTTGGTTTGGGGTCTGACCATAACAAATGTCCCTGAGTCTCCTTGTAAATGTAGAGTTTTCCCTTATCTTATCTTAATTTGAACTTGGAAGAGAGAAATAATAAAACTTAAAATTTTACAAGTGATGACAAATTCTAACTTTATTTCCATGCTATAATGCTTTAATGATGGGCAATAAATTATCTCTGCTCCCTGGGTTTTTGTTTGGTTTTGTTGGCTGTCTCAGAGGTGATTGAACTGAGCTCTGGAGAGGAGGACACTCTGCACATTGTAGACAGCAGTGAGTCTGTCAGTGAGGAGGATGAGGAAGAGGAGAAGGGTGGCACCCATGTGAATGACATCTTAAACCAGCGTGATGCTCTGGGGCGGGTCCTCGTCAACCTGAACCACCCTCCAGAGGAGGAGAATGTCTTCCTGGCCCCGCAGTTGGCAAGGGCAGTGAAACCTCATCAGGTACAGCAGATCTTGACTCTCCTTTGTTTCCTTTCAGCTTCCTTGCTGAGGGCATCACCTGCTGGTAGTTTTTAGCACCACAGTCTATGAAATACTTGTTTGGTACCTCAAGCAGCTATTGCAAAGGCCTGATCCTTCCTCCTAACAGTTGATGCTTCAGGATTTCTGATGAATGGGAAGGTCAAGCCTTAGATGCCCTATTGTGTAGGAGGTGCTGGATCTCTTGGTTTGATGATCTTGAGCTTCCTTCTGTGAGATCTGCAAGACTGATTAAGATGCTATCTAGAGGGCAGTGCTTTGATTAGGAAATTGATTTGATTCTGGAAGTCGTTCCAGAAGAGATTCAGGAGTCAGAAGTCTGAGGGACTTTCTGATAGGAGGGGGCAGAGTAGTTTGTATTGACCCAGAGCCCTGAACCCAGACCAATGAGTGGAAGTTCCATGAAGATAGAGATGACTTAACATAACAACCCTTAATAAGAACTACTCCTAATGGAATGGACTCTCTTGAGGTAAGAACCAAGGGTTGAGTGAGAGGCCCTGTCAAGAATTTGGTACTGCAGATTTTCGCCTTATATGGGCCATTTTACCAGGTGAATGATTTTCTGTGTTTTCTCCAAGAAAACTGTCACCAGCCTATAGACTAGTCAGGGTACAGGAAAACTTCTGTAGCTGTCCATACCAACTGTCTGCTGTGGTGCCTGCTCATTTACTTAATTCTAACTAATTCCAAGATGAATAAAACTAGAGCCCTGGTCTTTGCCAGCTCCTTTAACTATTGTCTGTGTTTGTCCTTTGTTAGATTGGTGGGATCCGGTTCCTGTATGATAACCTGGTTGAATCTCTTGAGAGGTTTAAGACCAGTAGTGGTTTTGGCTGTATTCTGGCCCACAGCATGGGTCTGGGGAAAACTTTGCAAGTGATCTCCTTCATTGACGTCCTCTTCCGCCACACGCCAGCCAAAACTGTCCTTGCCATTGTGCCGGTAAGAGTTGGGGAAGGCATTGTTTAGTCAGCCCCAGAGGAGGTCTGAGTTAATGCCTTGCTGGGTACTGAAAAGCTCAATGAGCCCAGCTTTGAGCTTGTTTCTTTTTGCTCGTTTGTTTGTTTGTTGTTTTGTTTTTGTTTTGAGTTATTTCTTAAAACCGTCTTTCTGGACTTGGCTGACAGGTTAATACTCTTCAGAATTGGCTGGCAGAGTTCAACATGTGGCTTCCAGCTCCTGAAGCCCTTCCAGCTGACAACAAGCCTGAAGAAGTCCAGCCTCGGTTCTTTAAAGTTCACATTTTGAATGATGAGCACAAGTAGGTGGCCTACCCTCTCCTCTTTGCCCTTTCCTTTTAAACTTCTTCCCTGGGTCTGGATATTAAGGGAGTCTATTTGCATTTGAATCCTGCCTTCCTAGATTCTTTTGGTTTCTCAATGTGTCCTGCCCCGCCTCCCCCCTTACTCTTTTGTTTCCCCACCTAGCTTTTTAGTAAAGTCAGAGTTGGGTAGCCTGAGAAATTTCTTACATTCTGCTTAAAGATGCTTTTATATTCTGAAAAATATGCATACATCGTCTTATTTTCCCATGTGGATAGTAATAGAATTCAACATGATGAAATAAAACTGTCCACCTTCTAACTTTTCACCTTTTACATTTCTCTTTCTTAGAAGCGTAATCAGCAGTCTCTTTTCAGCACTCATCTATAGTTGACCTTTAATGGTACAACTTCCAACTTTGAAAAGTACAAGCTTTTGTTTTAGATTTTTTTGTTTTGTTTTGTTTTTGTTTTTTATTTATTTATGATAGGCACACAGTGAGAGAGAGAGAGAGGCAGAGACACAGGCAGAGGGAGAAGCAGGCTCCATACACTGGGAGCCTGACGTGGTATTCGATCCCGGGTCTCCAGGATCGCGCCCTGGGCCAAAGGCAGGCGCTAAACCGCTGTGCCACCCAGGGATCCCTTGTTTTAGATTTAAATAAAATTATTTATATTTCCATTCCATAAATTCAACTTGATTTCCAAAACTCTAAAACTGTTTCTTGGTTCAAGCTAGCTATCCATGCTATCCTTTCCCCTTACTGGCATGGATAATTGAGAAGATAGACTTTGTTTTCTGCAGAGGCTGCCTTTTGTGATGTTTGGTCACATACATCAAAATGAGGAAACTGTGAGTGGCCCCCTAAATGGTTTGATCACCTGCTCTTCTTTCTTGGATTTCAGGACTGTTAGTCCACATGCAGTTAATGAATTACAGTCAGGGCTCAGTTGTTTAGGAGTAGAGGAACTGTGCTGAGTGTCATCTGGGCTTTGCTGCTTTTTCTCATTTACTGCTTATCCTTGGTTCTTTACTCACCAGGGCCTGGACAGGTAAAATGTGGAATATTGTCCTTGCTTTTACCTTATATTTATTATGAGAATAACTTGAAATTCTTTCTCTCAAATGTAGAATTATAGCCATGCATGTATATCTAAGGGAGTTGTCACTTTTTCTTTAAGAGACAAAGAGGTGGGGCTGAGGGAGAGGGAGAGAGAGAAATCTTAAGCGGGCTCTGTGCTGGGTGTGAATTGAGCCCAACATGGGCTTAATCTCAGACTGTGACCTGAGCCAAAATCAAGGGTCAGACACTTAACTGACCGAGCGCCACCCAGGTGTCCCAGGAGTTGTCACTTTTGTTTGCCTTGTGCCATTGTATTTCTGTTTTTCTACTATTTAACTGTCATCAGCCAACCAGTCCGTCCTCAGTGTGATGAACATCTCTGAGATGCTGGGAAAGTCCAGGGGCAGCTGGCCGGCCACTGTGATGCTGCCACTGAATGTCCATCAACATGGCTCTGATTGTGAGCAATTCTTCCTAGGGACCAGTGGAAGCAGTAATTTTTTCTCTGTTCACTCTTGCAGGACAATGGCAGCTCGTGCTAAAGTGATGGCTGATTGGGTGTCAGAGGGTGGGGTGCTGCTGATGGGTTACGAAATGTACAGACTCCTCACCCTGAAGAAATCCTTTGCCACAGGTAGATCGAAGAAAACCAAGAAACGTTCTCACCCGGTCATCATTGATCTAGATGAGGAAGATCGACAGCAGGAGTTTCGGAGAGGTAGGCAGCCTATCCCTGGATACCCTTGGGGGTGGTATTTCAGGAAAAAAGAAATAGTGTCTGCAGTAGCACCAAGTCAGATATGAAGATTATTGATGTGAGTTGTATTGTCATGAACCAGAAATCCTGACCCCTAAGATAGGTGGAATGACCTCCAATAGCTTTGAGAAGGTACTGCTCTCCTTGCCTGCTATAGAATTCTGGGTGGGCCACATACAGGCTGTCTCAGGAAGACTCCTCTGCCCATCTGGCCCTGTTTCTCTCACAGAGCAGTTGGGAGAGTGACCGTTCACCTCACTTCGTTCTAGAGGTGTTCTGGAATAGCAATAAGAAAATATTTATAAAAAATTTATATCACTGGTATACAGAGCAGTGATAATATTATGAATTTATAAAAGAATTAACCCAGTTTTTTTTACTGAAAGCCATTCCATTCATAGTTCTAGTTCTGTTCCCTCTTCTAAGGGTTTTTTGCCCATTTGGGGAAAAAAGTTTGTTTTAAGTTCAGAAGCTGTTTCATTTTATAGGGGTCTCTTCATCTGTAGATTATGTTCTAGGTTTGCTTCTTTGGTAGTGCTGGGATGAATTTGCTAGATGGCAAATTCTGGCAGGTAACTCCAGGAAGACTTTGTCCTTTAGCTAGCTCACCACCAGCCAGTCCATAGATGGTGCCAAGACGCTGACAAGGGTGAGAGCCACCTCAGTGTCTGGATGATTCCCATCGGTCTCACCCAGACTCTTTTTTAATCCTAGTCTGGTACTTTGTAAAGTCACACTCTCTGCCACCCAGTTGGTATAAGCCCTAGGAATGCAAGGTGTTTTACTTTTAGCCTAAAGGAAAAAAAAATAAGGAAAGGAAAAGATACTTACTGCAAGAGTCAATAGTCCAGGTTAACATGTCACACCAAATGCACAGGAGCCTGGATGGCTGGCTCCCTTTCACTAATGGGGGCTGACTCTTGCTTTCCTGCTTCCTTCATTTCTTCTGTCTCCTCCAGGGTGCACCCCTACTTCTCATATTGTTGACTAAGAGCAGGCCCTCTCACCCTCTGACTCCGGATCCTCTTCCCTCCCTAGAGTTTGAGAAGGCCTTATGCCGCCCTGGCCCCGATGTGGTGATTTGTGACGAGGGACACCGCATCAAAAACTGCCAGGCCAGCACCTCGCAGGCCCTGAAGAACATTCGCTCTCGCCGTCGGGTGGTGCTGACCGGGTACCCCCTGCAGAACAACCTCATTGAGTACTGGTGCATGGTGGACTTTGTGCGCCCAGACTTCCTTGGCACCCGGCAGGAGTTCAGCAACATGTTTGAACGCCCCATCCTGAATGGACAGTGTATTGACAGCACGCCTCAGGATGTTCGCCTAATGCGTTACCGGAGCCACGTATTGCACAGCCTCCTAGAGGGCTTTGTGCAAAGGTGAGCCATCCTTAGGGCCCTGTGTTTTGAACCCTCAGAGAGACCTTGGTGTAATGGGCATGCAAAGGTGTCCCAAAGGGGAGCTGTTACAGCAGGAGGGTCCATTCCTAGTGGGTGATAGTAAAACTTTCTTTTTAGTGAGTAGCTTTTCCTGAATAGCACACAGATGATGGATAGCCACTGTTTCAGTCCTCTGAAAGTTTGGCTTAGAAGTGCTTCCCTCAGAAGTTAATCTTTGAAGTTTCCAGGGATACCTGCCTTACTTACTGAAAAGCAAAAGAGAGCTAGCCTTCTGCTGACTTGGCAAAAGCATACAAGTGCTGGTTCTCAGGGGCGTGGCCTCACCCATTTCATCATCTTGGTAGATGTAGTTAGGATAGTCTAAAGCAATCCCCTTGTTTTTCCTTGTTAAGATGGCATGTGTGCAGAAAGCTTAAAGAAATAGCCCTGGATCCAGGTACCAACCTGAAGTTCCCAGTCTCTGCCACCCTATCCTCTTTGCTTTAATTCTTAGTCTTAAAATGTGATTCTTCTGATGGTCGCTAAACCAGTTCTCATTATTGCAAGGCTGCTGTGAACGGTGAGATCAAGAGGAGGTATGGCAGAAATGCAAGGTTCTCTTGTTTTCCTGCACTGACCTCTCCTGGCCACACAGGCTTGACAATTCTGATCTCTACCTTTGTAGGAGAGGCCACACTGTGCTGAAGATTCATCTCCCTGCCAAGGAAGAAAATGTAATCCTGGTGCGGCTCTCGAAGATCCAGCGAGATTTGTACACACAGTTTATGGACCGCTTCCGAGACTGTGGTAGCAGTGGCTGGCTGGGGCTGAACCCCCTCAAGGCTTTCTGCGTGTGCTGCAAGGTGTGTTGAGGCCTCAGGGAATACTGACACACAGATGAAGGATGCACACAGTCCCAAGGGAGTTCTTCCTACTGGGAGTCCTTGATAAAGGAAGAATAAAATGAGAGGGGCTACTTCCCTGGTTGGCTGCATCAGGGAACAGGGGAGCCCAAAGAGAGGTGTGCCAATGTGTGCTGCACAATTCCTGGGGGTGCCACTCATAGCCGAGGATATAAATGGTGTTTCTTGAGGTTGTGCAATTCATTTGTAGAATTTGTACAAAATTTGGGAACCACTTCCTTTCTCACCAGTTTTTTTCCCTTGGAAAAATTGGGTAATGAAAGAACATTGTGGGGCAGTTTATGACTGTTAATGTAATCAAGATTCAAGAAATATATAGCTTAGACAAGTTATTGGGGTACCTTCTGTTTGATTCTGTGTTTAATGAGATTGAGATATCATTCATCCTCGTAATGCTTGAGATGGTTTTGGGGATAGCAGGGCCCAGATATCTTCAGTACCAAGCTTCATGAACAGGTGGATGAACCCTGACTTATCTTTAGTATGTGCTCCCTGTTGCCTAATGAGGGGCTTGTTTCTTTGACAGCTCTCAGCTGACTTGTTGGTTATTATTCCCAATTGACCACTGCTTTAATAAGTCAGCTGAAGGTGTATGTCAGGGGACAGATGAGATTTCAAAATGTTTGTTTGTTTGTTTGTTTGTTTGTTTGTTTTGTAGCCACAGTCCTAGACCAGAGCCAGAAAGCTAGAGCAGACATGGTGTTTGAGCCAACATGCCCTTCCTGTCCCCCCACCCGCCCATTCCCCCAGCCCCGTGCACCCCACTAATTCTCAACTCCTGCCAGGAGTAGTCCTTGAAATGACTTCTGGTTGGTCATCTGTAAGTCAGATACATTTATCCATAGGGAGAGATTAATCTTGTTTCATAGTTTCATATAGTCGTTGGCTATAGTCACACAGCAAATCAGGAACATTATTATTCTTATTTAAATAAGAATGCAAGCCTTTGACATAGCCTTTCTGATTATGTACCAAACATGGGCATGCCCACTGGTATGAACTCTTTCACTCACATTATGATGGTCACAGCTGGTTAGTTAAAATGAATGTGTAGGCTCTTTGGATATGAGGGGGTTGGAGATACTTTGATTTTTGGTGTGACACTATGCTATGGGAGGTGTGTGTTTGAGCAAGTGCATGTTTCCAGGCTTCCTGGGATACCCTTAGATTGTTTCTGCCCTGTGCCATTTCTCCTTTAACTTGAATCTCAGATCTGGAATCACCCGGATGTGCTGTATGAAGCCCTTCAGAAGGAGAGTCTGGCCAATGAGCAGGACCTAGATGTGGAAGAGCTTGGCTCAGCGGGGACTAGTGCCCGCTGCCCGTCCCAGGGAACAAAAGGCAAGGGGGAAGACAGCACCTTGGCCTCCTCGATGGGAGAGGCAACCAACAGCAAGTTCCTACAGGGGGTTGGTTTCAACCCTTTCCAGGAGCGAGGCAACAACATTGTTACATATGAATGGGTGAGTCAAGCAGATCCTTCTGTGCCCATAAACCACTGCTGAGAAGGGATGGTACAAATTCTATGTGGGGAAATGGTGGGGGCTGCACAGTGTACTATACTACCAAGGTCTCTGCAGGGAACTATAAAGGTTGCCCATGAGCCTCTGCTTGGGAAAGACTGAATTTTATTTCTAGTGTTCTGTCATGGACCTGCTCTAAGCTGCCTCATTTTTGTCTTACAGGCTAAGGACCTTTTGACTAATTACCAGACTGGGGTCTTAGAGAACTCTCCCAAGATGGTACTGCTTTTCCACCTGATTGAGGAAAGTGTGAAGCTTGGGGACAAGATTCTTGTATTCAGGTAGGAAGAGAAATTCCCCTATGACACTGTGTCTCTGTAGAAGAGTGACACAGCCCCTGCAGAGTGAGACCATCTTGGGTCACCACAGCTCCCCCACTTTTTTTCCTTCATGCCTCTTCAGCCCAGTGCTTTTTGTGAGGACCTTCTTGCATTTCATCTCTTTCTTGGAGTTTTCTTATTTTACCCAATGTGGTTTCTCTGCAGAGAACAATTTAAAACCCTGGGCTGGAAAAAAAAAAATAAAATTAAATAAATAAATAAATAAATAACCCTAGGCTGACATCGGAGGTCATAGTCTAATTCTTTAAATTATGGCCCAGGTCAGATCTGGCCTATGGCCTGCCTGAGAGCTAGTTTTTACATTTATTTTTAAAAGATTGATTGATAGAGCTAGTTTTTACATTTGTTTTTAAAAGATTGATTAATTGATAGATAGATAGATAGATAGATAGATAGATAGATAGTGCTTATAAGCAAGCTGAGTGGGGGGATCCAGAGGAGGAGGGAGAGACAAGCAGACTCAACATAGGACTGGATCTCATGACCCTGAGATTATGACCTGAGTTGAAATCAAGAGTCGAACGTTCAACCAACTGAGCCACCCAGGCACCCCTAGCTTTTACATTTTTTAAGTGTTTTTAAAAAGAAGAAGAGGGTTTTTTTAAAAAAAGAATATTTGACAGACTGTGTATAGTCTGCAAATCCTAAAAATATTTACTATCTGGCCCTTTACAGAGAACATTTGCTGACTTGTGGTCTAATCTGCTTCAGTCCTTACCCAGCCTTTATTTTTTTTTAACTAAATAGATTTTGTGGGGGGCACCTGACTGCCTCAGTTGGTAGAACATGCAGTTCTTACTTTCAGGGTCATGAGTTCAAGCCCAATGTTGGGTGTGGAACTTACATATACTTTGTTTATAAGGCCAAATAAATAATACAATTTGTTCCAGAGTCACATTCTCAGTCTGGCCAGAACTTTGATGTCCATCAAGGCCTGACTCCTCAGGGAAATAGACATAGAGTTGATTGATTTTTGTTGTTGTTCTGACGAAATAATGCTCCAACAAGAGCTAATGGGAGCCTCCCAGAGTAAGGATTTCCATGTGTGACACACTTTGAGAGCACAGCAGTGATTCTAACTAGGGGACAGTCTAGTGTTCCACTGGTTTTATGTTATCACTTAACATATACAAGACTGCCTCTCTCTCTGTATAACTTTTGAAAGCAGCCAAATAATTCTGTCTCCTTAGTGAGACAGATAATATTGATTGTGGCCTATAATTACATCTAATGTATATTCATGCAATGTTGGTTTTTGATGATGCTATTTGTTACTATGCCTTGAGCTAAACCCCAGAATTTTTCAACTGAGGAAGTAATAGGGTAACATATGTAGTGAGATGGTGATAATAAATGTGTGGATGACTTTGCTCCCATTATGAACTAGGGAGAATACCCTTGGGGGTTCTTTGTGGGGTTATGCCTCAAGGGGCCAGGTTCTAGTAGCTCCCACTGTCAGAAGGCTGCACATGATTATGAGCCCATTGGGGAACAAGATTCCCTTGGGTCTGGGAGCCTTCTGAACCAAATGTTGTCCCTTCCAGCCAGAGCCTTTCCACCTTGGCTCTCATCGAGGAGTTCCTAGGGAAACGAGAAGTGCCCTGTCTACCTGGTGCTGATGGGCAAGGAGTACAGAAGTGGGTTCGAAACGTCAGCTACTTCCGTGAGTTCATTGCTGCTTTGTTTCTAGAGTGTTGGCAGGTTCTGCTTAAGGATTCCCTTTCCTTCTCTGCCTTTTTGTCTTCTACTCCATTCTCCATCAACTGCATAGGAGTATCTGGAGTAGCCAAGGAGCAGAGAGACACTGAGAACAAGCTGCTGTGTGTGAGGCATTATTCTGGAGACTGAGGAGCTTGGGTGAGATAGGGGGAGAGCAGAGAAAGAAGTAGAAAGCATAAGCCTTGTCTTCATTTGACAACTCTAAGACAAATGCAGAGTAGTACTGGTTAAGTGTCCTAACAGTTTCTAAGGAAAACAGAATCATTGCAGGGAGGATGGTTGGAGAAAGCTTCCTTAAAGAGGAGGTAGAACTTGCAGTAGACTTGCAAATATGGGCAGAACTTAAATATATAGAGTTAGTGTGGCCCAAAGGTCATTCTAGGAAGAAGAAGCAGAGTGAAGGTAAATAAGCCCAGATCATGCATTCTCTATAGGGGAGATCGTGTCCCTAAACGGGTAAAAATTAGTTCTTGAGGGGACAAATTTTTTTTTAACTTTTCAAAAGTATAGGGCACAAATGGGCATGTAGTAAATAAACATATGCAGTTTATCTGTGATATTTAAAATTTCATGAAGGGCATGTTGATTGGTAAAAAAAAATGTATAAAAAGGCTCCTTAGGAGGGTGGTAATGAAAAGCAAAAGTTGAGAACTATTAACCTCAGGTACTTACTGTCTGCATATTGACTTTGGGCCAAATAGTTCTTTTTAGGCGGGTGGTCCTGTGCATCGTAGGATGTTTAGCAGCGTCCCTGGTATTAGATGGTATTTTTTTTTAATTTTTTTTTTTATTTATTTATGATAGTCACACACACAGAGAGAGAGAGAGGCAGAGACATAGGCAGAGGGAGAAGCAGGCTCCATGCACCGGGAGCCCGACGTGGGATTCAATCCCGGGTCTCCAGGATCGCGCCCTGGGCCAAAGGCAGGCGCTAAACTGCTGCGCCACCCAGGGATCCCGGTATTAGATGGTATTAATATCCACCTAGTTTTAACAACCAAAAATGTCTTCACACATTACCAAATGTCTCCTGTAGAGGAGGAGGGCAAGGAAATCACCCTTGTTGAGAAGCACTGGCCTAAAGGAAGTATTTAGAGAATGGAGGTGCAGTGAGTTGTAGGAAGACCTCTAGCACAGGACCTGGCTCACAGCCTTGTGTTGACTGCAGGGTTACCAAGTGTGAGTCAGTGCTGAGCTGTGCTTGGAAATTGTGAGAACTCAGATTGGGTGCTGATTGAGCCTCTAATACAGGCACTTTAAGGCTTCCTATAGCAGTAGCAATCCAGTTCTCCATGTGGTGTTTCATCTCTTTAGCTTCGCCCTTTTCTCTTTTTTCCCTGGGGTGACAAAGCCCCCTTTTCTCTTATTCATGCTTCTTCTAAACTGAAGATTACTTTTTTCTCCTTCCTTTGAACTTCCCTCTTTTCAGCCATGTATCCCATTCCACTGTTCCAGATCTGTTCCTTTTAATGTCTCCTTAGAGCAAGTCCTTAATCATAGGAGTTTGTTAACAAATTCCTGATGGAGGGATATAATCCATATCAAAATAGAACTCTTGGTCCTTCTGCACTCACCAAGATTTACAGGACTGAAGCAGAGAGGTCACCCTGAGCCAATGTTTACCAAGCTTCCTTATTTAGGATAATTCTTTTTTTTTTTTTTAAGCATTTTAAAAATTTTCATTTATTTATTCACGAGAGACACAGAGAAAGAGAGAGAGGTAGAGACACAGGCAGAGGGAAAAGCAAGCTCCATGCAGGGTGCCTGACTTATGATTCTATCCCGGGTCTCCAGGACCACAACCCGGGCCAAAGGCGGCGCTAAACCGCTGAGCCACCCAGGCTGCCCTATTTAGGATAATTCTTATGCACTCTGAAGTCTAGGAACTTTGGAATTGACCTAAAATACTAAAGGGAGAAACATGGTTTATAATCCTTGTTGTACATGGGGTGTTTTTAAATTATAGATGTCTGGGTCTCACCATAAACCCATGAAATGTCCAAGGGAATGGAATCTGAGTATTGTAGTATATTTGGTTTTTGTTTGTTTTTAAAACACATTTTCCCAGTGATTTTGCTGTGTACCTCTGCCCTCATCTGTCCATTTCTTGTGATTTTCCTTCTGTCCTAGGGCTAGATGGTAGCACCCCTGCCTTTGAGAGGGAGCGGCTCATTAATCAGTTCAATGATCCCAGCAACCTCACAACCTGGCTATTCCTTCTGTCTACAAGGTGAGTGGATCCTGAGAGGTGAGGTCAGAGTGCTGTGTTCAGGGCAGTTGGTCATATAGGCAGATACCCAAAGGCTCATCCAAGTTCCGTCAGAAGAGATCTGCTCAGGTGTGTGACTTGTTTTTGAGGTCACACAGGGGATCCCAAAAGGAAGTTGTATCAGGAGGGTGATCATGATAGTGTCATGAAGTTCTTTGAGAACTTCATTAACAATGGGCATAATTAGCCCTCAGAAATATTCTCAGAAATATTCTCTTAGATGATGGGATTAACATCAAAGTGCTTTAAAAAGTATAAAGTGTAATGTAACTATTAAAGGCTGGTGGCATTATTTGTCTCATGCCAAGCAGCTTGAAAGCTATGCTCTGTTCTGCCACCACAATGCCCTTGATGGGTATGAAATAGTCATTTTCCTATCTGGTAGACTAAACACACCAGAAACATCTGGATACAGATGTCTCCCTTTGAGTGACATTGCTCTGGAGCCAGGATGCAGGAGCCTTTCCCAGTACAGAGGAGCAGAGAGTGGGTTTTCTTTCTTTCTTTCTTTCTTTTTTTTTTTTTTTAAGATTTTTATTTATTTATTCATGAAAAACACAGAGAAAGAGAGGCAGAGACACAGGCAGAGGGAGAAGCAGGCTCCTTGCAGGGAGCCTGATGTGGGACTTGATCCCGGGACTCCAGGATCACGCTCTGGGCCAAAGGCAGGTGCTAAACCACTGAGCCACCCAGGGATTCCCAAGTGAGTGGGTTTTCTTTCTGAGCTGGTAGGCACTTCTGTTTTGGATTATCAGGGCATATTTTTCAGTGCTTGAGGAATGTACTGTTCATCAGCAGAACAGTAGAATCTTCCAGTATGTTGTGCTTAGGATAAAGGAGGTAATACTGGGGCAGGAATCACAGAGTAAAACCAATTTTAAAACTGTTTTTAAACTAAAAGTTCTGTGATTGTTGGCTTCTGTTTTAAAGGGCCGGGTGCTTGGGTGTAAATCTGATCGGTGCCAACCGAGTGGTGGTGTTTGATGCTTCCTGGAACCCTTGCCATGATGCCCAGGCAGTATGTCGGGTATACCGTTATGGCCAGAAAAAGCCCTGTCATATCTATCGCCTTGTGGCTGATTTCACCCTTGAAAAGAAGATCTATGACCGTCAGATTTCCAAGCAGGGCATGTCAGGTGGGGCATCCTTCAGGCTCAATACTATCCTTATTATGTGAGTGGTGGGAGGGGAGGGGCTTGTGTGGGAACACATGTAGGGTTTGAATCACAGAAAATCAGCAGTTCCTCACATCTTATCCCAGTTCAAATAATTGCTTTAAGAGGGACTTGAACTCAACTTGTCGAGGCCAGGTGTAATGAAAAGAGCTGAGCTAGGTGTGCAGGTTTCTTTTATAATATTTCCATTTCACCAGAGCCTCAGACCTTTCAAATATGGGATGGCCTGAGGTAGTTTTAGCTTTAGTGACAATTATGCCGGTAACAACCTCTCTTCTCTGCCAACTTTTGTAGCTATGCTTTTGTAGTCTCTTCTGCCATGTACTGACTTTCTCCATGTTTTCTCCCTTCTAGATCGGGTGGTAGATGATCTCAATCCAATGCTGAACTTTACCCGGAAGGAGGTGGAGAACCTACTGCACTTTGTTGAGAAGGAGCCAGCTCCCCAAGCATCCTTGAATGTAAAGGGGATCAAGGAGCCAGTCCTGCAGCTTGCCTGTCTGAAATACCCTCACCTCATCACCAAGGTCAGAACCTGGCTTGCATGCAGTTCCTGGTACAGTAGTCTCCCTGAGGGAGGCTTATCTGGCAAAACTAAAGTTTTGTTCCATGCAGAGGACTGGAACTCAGTTGATTCTTCTCCGTGCCCCATGCAGTCCCCCAGCCACCTGTTCCTACCCCAGTCTTGTCCTGGGAGTGCTCAGCTCAGCTATGTGGAATAATTCGGCCAGTATGAGTTATTCCTAGCAGAAAGAAGGGAGTAAATTCTAGAAATGTAGTCTTAATTCTCTGAACTTTAACATCCTTTTGATATAGAAAGTAGACTTGGGTTTTGTAAAGGTGGGGCCGGGTTAGAGTCGTGAATTCTACTCTTGTCAAAAAGAGGTAAACCTGCCTGGGTGTCTGTGAGCAGGTTCTTTGCAGGTGTTGGAAATAGCCATCCCTATTTTGTTTTCAGAGGAAACCTCATTGTATATCAGTCATGTTGGCACAAAGATTGGTAATTAAATCAACATCCTCCTGTGTCCCCAGGAGCCTTTTGAGCATGAGTCATTGCTCCTTAACCGAAAGGATCACAAGCTGACCAAGGCTGAGAAAAAAGCAGCAAAGAAAAGCTATGAAGAAGATAAGCGCACATCCGTCCCCTACACCCGCCCATCATATGCGCAGTATTACCCCGCCAGTGACCAGAGCCTAACCAGCATCCCTGCTTTCAGTCAGAGAAACTGGTGAGTCACTGAAAGAGGAGGAAGATATGCTGCTGGGTCAGCCCAAACGTTTTGATTGGTTCTGTTTTTAAACAAAGGGAGAGCCTACAACATGCTCGTTGCCTTTTGTAAACTGACAGGTTCTGCTCTTGGATGAGGTGCCAAAGCAGTTCAGCAGCCCTGGTGTTTTAAATGGCTCTGGCTGGAAGAGTGAGCCACTGGCCTTATGACGCAGGAGAGTCCTTCTGGACTCCTGGAGAAGTGCAGCTTCCTAAGACACAGAGGCCTAACCCTTCCACATAGCTGCCTTCATGTCTATAGTGCCTTGGTCCTAGATCTTGCTTAAGCAGTGAAGTTCAAGGGTGAAGGCCAGGTCTTTTGTGGGTCTTAGATTGTCGTCAAGGAATTTTCCTGTTCTTTTTTTTTTTTTTTTTTAATTTATTTATGATAGCCACAGAGAGAGAGAGAGAGAGAGAGAGAGAGAAAGAGAGAGAGAGGCAGAGACATAGGCAGAGGGAGAAGCAGGCTCCATGCACCGGGAGCCCGACGTGGGATTCGATCCCGGGTCTCCAGGATCGCGCCCTAGGCCAAAGGCAGGCGCCAAAACGCTGCGCCACCCAGGGATCCCCAGAATTTTCCTGTTCTTAATGAGATTTTATTCTGTGGCTGTGCCATGATCCTGAGAAAAAAATACTTTTCTTGAATCCTTCTAGAACTGCTCAGAGTATTAACGTGATGGAAGCCAATTGCTGAGTGAAGAGAGAGCTCTGCTCTTTCTAAGACATTACAAAACTGTTAATCTATTTTTTTTTTTTCATTTCAAGACAAAGTGCCTCATAGGCCTTACCAGAATCAGCCACCTGATTGAATGGTTTATTTTATTTTAATTTTTTTTATTTTTAAGTGGTTTGTTAAGACTTTTTTATTATCTTGAATTAAAGATTCTTTTATTTGAGGGGAGCGATTTAAAACTTTTTTCTTTTGAGAATTACGTGTTAAAAAATGACAAATGAGATTGTAAAAGAACTGAAACCGTGTAAATTTTATGAAAGTCTCTTATATTTGGTGAGTAAATTTGCTGCTTTTTGGTACAAGAAGCTTTGAAGAAAAACGTTATTCTCTTTCATAGCCTTCAGACTTTATTTCTGTGTCATTTTCCAGGATAGTGTTGCCTGGGAATGTTCTCCTTTTTTGTCCTCCACTCCTTTTGTTCTCTTTTCTGGGCTTTCCCATGTAACAACAGGAATGCCCAAACCTAAAGCTAGTGGAAGAAAAGCCATTTTTTGGGGGGGAAAGATGTGACAAATTGGTTGGGCTCTGAGGTAATGTCAGCTCCTTTTTTGGCCCAGCTCTGGCCCTATGGGAGGCACTAGCCTCTCATAGCACTTGATAAGCCATACTATGATCCTGCTGATTGCTCCTCCTGTCTGGGTGTACGTGAAGGGCGTTTCTGGCCCAGTTTCCTCGCTTTAGCTCCTCCAGAGTAGGGGGCTTACAATAGGTTCCTGTTACCCTGACTTTACTCTGATCTGACTTTGGATCCTGGGAAGAGTCCCACTGACATCTGACGAGAGCCCTGTAGCTCCTGCAAAGCCACCCTGGGCAGACTAAGGAAATGGGACCCAGAAATGGTGAGTTAGCTGTGCTGTTTGGCCTATCTTGAAATGTGGGAGTCCACAGGGCCCAGAGAGCTGCCCAAAGGTGCCTATCGCAACCTCAGAGCAATGTTCTTCAGTCGGGTAAGGAAGAATATACCAGTCCAGGGAGGTTCTCCCCCAAAACTAAAGACCAAAGGCACAAACTTCAGAATGCTTATAGACAGGGTCTTAAATCTTGAATCAGGAATAGCTTTCTCAGAGTACCAAATCCAGTTGAAAATGTAAAAGAATGAGGAGTGCCATGGGATAGCATTTTTGCATGCTGGCTTAAAACATGCATAGCTAGTGCTCAGGATGGCCATGGCCATGTGCCATTTAGAAGCCTGGTTTCTGTGAACAGCTTTTTGGCTGTTGCTGCTGCTTTTGTGGTGGTGATGACTTAAGAGGGCCACTTTGGACACTGGTCCCTGGAGGAGCCCAATGAAAGGTAATGTGGAGGAGAGAGAGATGTCTGCATTACTTATTGAAACTTGATATTCCAGGGATGCCTGGGTGGCTCAGCTGTTGAGTGTCTGCTGTCAGCTCAGGTCGTAATCCTGGGGTCCTGGATTGAGTCTCCACATTGGGTTCCCTGCGAGGGGCCTGATTCTCCCTCTGCCTATGTCTCTGCCTCTCTCTGTGTCTCTCATGAATAAATAAATAAATAAAATCTTAAAAAAAAAAAGAAAAAGAAAAACTTGAGATTCCAGAGAGTAAAGATGGTTGAAGTTGGACAGATGCTCTCTCAAGAGAACCTGAATGTGTGACATCACGTGGCCCTTTTTCCTTGGGTGAGTGGGAAAGTTTCACCCATTTGTCTTCAACTTGGCGATGCACTGTGTTCTTAAGATTTTTTTCTCCCTTATTGCATCTTTACCTCTCCCTAACTTCCCTCCAAGGACTAATTCCTAAAGTATGTAGACAGTCCGAATTCTAGAGGAGCAGGTGTCACCTTGCATCTCCATAAAGGTATTATTCACCAACATCTGATTCTTCTTAGACTCTGAGAGGCTTTATCCCTCACTTACACTTGGTCTTGGTCCTACCTCCAGTTTCCTTTTGAATTACCCCTACTCTACAGATTCTTCTGATCCTTCTCAGCAGCAAGTAAGGCTGTAGAATGGGGGAATCTAGAGAAGCTCTGCAGCCTTTGCAGAAACATAAGTAAGGGCTGTTCTGCTGAACTTTATTAGTTTGCTTGTCCTTCTCTCATAGGCAGCCAACACTGAAGAGTGATGAGAAGCCTGTGGCCAGTGTTCGCCCTGTGCAGTCCACCCCCATCCCCATGATGCCCCGGCATGTCCCACTGGGAGGCAGTGTAAGCTCTGCCTCTAGCACAAATCCAGCTATGAACTTCCCGATCAACTACCTGCAGCGCGCTGGGGTCCTTGTGCAGAAGGTGGTCACCACAACAGGTTGGGAATTCCTAGGTCCTCTTCTGGGGCTGCCTGTCCCTTTACTTTGTTTGTTCAGGAAGTATTTATAAACACCTTTTGTATTCTAGGCCTTACTGCATTGGCACTGTGGGTAAAACTAGAGAAGATAGTCCCTGATCTTGAGGAATTTGCATTCTGATGGAGTATCTTAAGAATTTTAGCAGAACAGGGTTTTTTTAAATGTGATATGTGGGATAGACTCTGAGCACTTCAGAGGTTGTGGAAATGTCACTGGGACACAGGGTTAGTCTGAGAGAGGTATGAATGTATTGAGTCCTAACTGTAGGGTTAGCTGTGTATAAAAGACAACATCAAACTCCCTACTTAATTAGAATACGTGAATGCTACTTGCTTCTTTCTTTGTGAGTGATACGGGTTGAGCATGGTGGGCCTGTGGTAGGAGGCTGGCAATCCATCTGTCCCTGCGATTGGTTCTGTGATTCAGGGTAATTGGGAAGGAAAGCATTTCTTGGAGCTGTGTTTCATCTTATTATCTAGAAATATTTATGGTATATAAATTTTAATAAAAATATCTTGATTTTTTTGAGTATGAAAATAATGCATGTCTATTGTAAAATATTTGTGAAATGGGTAAAAACAAAAAGGGAACCCCTTGTGATCCTACTTCTCTGCTGATTCTTGAGCATACTTTTTATTTTTTAGTTAGGTGTGAAGTAATACCAGCAAGGAAGAAGATGAGGCCACTTTTGGAGTCTAAAGAGATGTGGAGCAGATGGATGCAGATAGCTTAGGGAGGAGGAAAACAAACAAACCATCTGAACTAGAACCTTTTCCAAACTAAAACTCTATGAATTTTTAATTAAATCAAAGGAAATTGATCAGAAAGATGATTGGGTTTCTAAAAAGTTTCTCATTTTCCTAGTATTCTCTGTTAGACAACTGTGAGAAGAAGTCCTGCTTGCTTTATCCTCCTTGGTTCAGACTCCACTGAGAGGTTTTAGGGAAGCTACTAAGGAACAGGGGAGGATGTAGACTTAGCATCTTCTTGCCCTCTCAATCAAGTAATCTAAATATGAGGTCTTTCTCTTCACTAGATATTGTTATTCCTGGACTCAACAGCTCCACAGATGTGCAGGCAAGAATTAATGCTGGTGAGAGCATCCACATCATCCGTGGGACAAAAGGTGAGAGCCTGATCAAGATGCCCATCCTTTACCTTTGGTTCAGAGTGTGGAGCTAGGAAGCAGAAGAAATATATATGGCTTGAGTTAGAGGGAGGTTAGGGATTATCCTATAAGAGTGTCACATGTGGAAGAAGCATGAGAAAAAGACAATTCTAAGAGCTTAGCAGAGTTGGAGCAGGCCCAAAAGAGACTTGTTAGTGGCTTAAAAGAAGAGACTTAGGGCCCGTGCATTTCGCCATTGTTTTTTTGGAGAATGTTGCGATGGGTTTGTATAGACAACTGTGTTTTGTGTCAGTCTCAGCCTATTGATAATGATATTCTTAGCTAAAAGCACCTCATGACTCACCTGTTGGTATACTAATTGTGGCAAGCCCCCACAGACATTTACCAGAGCCAGTGTCATGACTGAACTGGCACTTGTGGTTCTTACTATGATTGCAAGATGTACCTTAGCAACAACCACCAGTGAACTTGGAAAAAACAAGGTTTATTACTCACAGATCCTGGAGGGCATACAGCATTCCAGGGCCACACAGTGAGGTCATAGGTAGAAAGAGAGAGAGAGAGAGAAAGGAGACTTGCGTCTTTACTAGAGTCCAGGTGTTGGGATGGTTAGTGTCTTGGAGTTTACTTTTGTTGATGAATTTAAAACATAAGAGCAGAAATTAGGGCATGGGAAGGGAAAAGCAGGGTCCACTCAAGGTCAAGCTTTCTGGGTTACTCTGGGCTCTCTGCAAGGGGAACTTGGTGAGGACAGCCTATTTCCTTATCTAGTTCTTTAGTTAGGAGCTGTGTCATACAGGTGCAATTTGTTTATTCAATCAAGATGGATGCCTTGGCCATCGAAAGCTTAATACTTGGCATTTAAACTACACACAGGGATTCCAAAAGTGGAGAGAAAGAGCTGTGGAATGGATTATAAGTGAACATATATGTTATTGTGTCCCCTTACCCACTTGCTCAGAGTAGAGTTGAGGTCTCCAACTAGGAAATGCATTGAGTAGATGAATTAGTATATGTGGGTTGCATGACAGATATTTTGAGTGTGGCAATTTAAGATTTATTTATTTATTTTAGAGAGGGATGGGGAGGAACAGAGGGAGAGGGGGAAAGAGTCCTTGGCAGACTCTGTGCTGAGTGTGAAGCCCAATGCAGGGCTCGATTCCACAATACCAAGATCATGACCTAAGCCAAAACCAAGATTGGATGCTTAACCAACTGTGCCACTCAGACACCCCTTGAGTGTGGTAATATTAAAAGTCCACTGCTTCTGGCCTTCTTACAGAGGGAGATGAGATTGCTGGAATTAGAAGTTTGGACTGGACATTGTCAGGATGCAATCTGAGCCTATTGTTCATATCATCCTTTACTGTATGAGGCTCCTTGGGGTTCTTTTTTTTTTTTAATTTTTATTTATTTATGATAGTCACAGAGAGAGAGAGAGAAAGAGAGGCAGAGACACAGGCAGAGGGAGAAGCAGGCTCCATGCACCGAGAGCCCGATGTGGTATTCGATCCCGGGTCTCCAGGATCGCGCCCTGGGCCAAAGGCAGGCGCCAAACTGCTGCGCCACCCAGGGATCCCCTCCTTGGGGTTCTTTGTTTATCAAGGAGATTTTGACCTTGCCTTGATGGGTTTATCAAGGAGATTTTGACCTTGCCTTGATGGCCTACCTTTAGGCTCAGGAAAAAGATGCCATGAAGCACATGACATAAAGAGAAGATTATAACCAGCCCCTTTACTAGGCTTGTCTTAGCCTAGAGCATAGGTCAGCAAACTATGGCCCATGGGCCAAATCCTGCCTGCCTCCTGTTTCTGTACCTGTGAGCTAAGCATGGGTTATACATTTTCAATTGATTGAAAAAAATCAAAAAAATATTTTGTGGAACCTGAAATATATGAATTATATGAAATTCACATTTCAGAGTCCATAAAGATAGATCTTTGGAGAACAGCCACCTCCAGCTGTTTTCATGCTATGGTAGCAGAGTTGAGTGGTTGCAACCTCATGGCCCACAAAGGCAAAAATATTTACTAACTGGTCCTTTAAGAAAATGTTTGCTGAGATCCCTGGGTGGCACAGCGGTTTAGCACCTGCCTTTGTCCCAGGGCACGATCCTGGAGATCCAGGATCGAATCCCACGTCGGGCTCCCGCTGCATGGAGCCTGCTTCTCCCTCTGCCTGTGTCTCTGCCTCTCTCTCTCTCACTGTGTGCCTATCATAAATAAATAAAAAAAAAATTAAAAAAAAAAAAGAAAGAAAATGTTTGCTGACCTCTGACCTTCCAGGAGATTGATCAAAAGACAGAGGTAGGTTAGTGTCCTATGGGAATAGAATGCTGGTCTTGAATTATTCCAAGGGAGAAGAGGGTGTTGAGGCAATGAGGCTCCTTCCTCACAGATCAAGAAGACCCTTGCCAGAGTCCTTTGGCCAGAACCAAGGCAGCCATCTTACTCTTTCTCCCAGCAACCTGTTTATTTCCTCCATTGTGTTAACCTTTCCCGATATTTTCTGGCATCTTTGTCTTTCTCCTCCTCTAGAGCCTGAGCCCCATGAGACAGGGCCCTTTTCTGTCTTGTGCTCTTCAGTGTCTAGAACAATACCTCAAACATGGTAGTCATGCTGTGTGGAATGAATGAATAATTTCGGGTCCATAGCTCAGTGCTCCACTTGTTATCTTAGGGACCTTGAGAGAGGGTATGAGACCTAATTTTATAGCTGTTTCCCAACCCATGGTGTCTAGGCCTAGAGTTTCCCAAAGTTGGCTGATTGCATGTCTGCTCCTAGCAGTTTTCCTCCTGTTTCTTAGGGACATACATCCGCACCAGTGATGGGCGGATCTTTGCTGTCCGGGCAACTGGCAAACCGAAGGTCCCAGAAGATGGTCGGATGGCTGCCTCAGGTATAGTGGCTTCTACTTTCTATAGATCTACATGGCATTTTTTTTGTTTGTTTTTGTTTGGTATATAATTAGTTTATTTTTTGAATAATGTATACATGGTTCACAATTCAACAAAAGGTGTAAGAGAGGTAAAGTGAAAAGTAAGTTCTTCTCCCTACAAGCCCCCAACCATCTATTGCTCCTTTCTGGAGGTGCTTTTCTCATTTGCTTTTTTCAGAGATCTATTATACATATACAGGAATGTATGTGCACTTCTATGTATGTGTGTCAGTCTCTGTGTTAAATATATATACATAACTTTTCTCCATTTTCTTTAAAGATTTATATATTTACTTGAGAGAGAGAGAGTGGGGGTGGGGAAGGGCAGATGGAGAGGAGAGAGAATCACAAGTAGACTCTGGGGTGAGTGAAGAGCCCAACATGGGGCCTTATCCCATGACCCTTGAGGTCCTGACCCAAGCCAAAACCAAGAGTCAGAAGCTCAACCAACTGAGCCACCCAGGCACCCCTCTCCATGTTTTTTTTTTTAATTTTTTTTAAATTTTTTATTTATTTATGATAGACATACAGAGAGAGAGAGAGACAGGCAGAGACACAGGCAGAGGGAGAAGCAGGCTCCATGCACCGGGAGCCCGATGTGGGATTCGATCTCGGGTCTCCAGGATCGCACCCTGGGCCAAAGGCAGGCGCTAAACTGCTGCACCACCCAGGGATCCCCCTCTCCATGTTTTTAAAATAAATGCTAACTCACAATACCATAGTGTTTATTTTTATTTTTTTCACTCACTAGTGTATCTCAGTGCTTGTTCCTTATCATTTCTTTAGATGTGCCTCATTGATGGTTTGCACAGGACACCATTAGATGGGTATAACACAGTGCATTACCGAGTTCCCTGTCCTTGGACATTTAGATTGTTTTATCTGCCCCACTCTGCCCCCCCCCCCCGCCCTTAACAGCAACAGGTCATAATCATGTGGATATGTCTAAAAGATAAATTCCTAGAAGTGGGATTACCAGTGGGATTACGTCAAAAGAGAGTGTGTGTGGCACATTAATAATGTTAGGAGCTCTGGCCAGGTTCTCCTCTATAGCGTGGCTTTCATCTATCCTCCTGCCATGGAGTATGAGCACTACACCGCTCTTGTTCCCAACTTTTATTATGGAAATTTTTATACCTATAGATAAGTTGAAAGAACAGCACCCATGTACCCCACATCTAGATCCAATGACTATTATTCTCATAAACTTTCTTCTGTTTCTCTCTCCTATTACTGGAACTATTTGTAAGCTGAAGATGTCATGTCATTTTGCCTTTAAGTACTTCAGCACACATCTTTTAAGAGTAAGGAGATTCTCCTCCTAGCCACAACACCATTATCACACTGAAACAAAAACATAAAACTCCATAGTATTACCTAAAATCCAGGCTGTATTCTCACTTGTCCCAGTTGTCTTTTACAGTGTGGATTTGGTTTTGTTTTTAAACAAGAATGGACCACTTTTTAAACTTCATTTTCCTTTTCTGTCCCATCCTGGTCACTGGTTGTCTCTGTCCCTTCTCAGAAAGAATCCAGCTAGTTATAAGAAGGATTTCTTAGCATTTCATATTCATTATCTCCTAGGATTCACCTTGATCTAATTTCACAGACTGGGGAACTGGGATATGGAGAAGTTACATGTCTTATCATAGACTTGTTTCCTCAATCAAATGATTTCTTTCTTTGTGACTGGGAAAAGTTGACTGAAGGATATTGTTTGGATATCATACTCTTTGAATTTGGAGGACCACAGGACAAGATTATTTTTTAATGGAATTTTTCCTATGTCCTCCTTCTCTCCCTGGCCATTCTGGTTCTCAGTGACCTACATTTTATTCCCCAGGTTCCCAGGGGCCTTCTCTCGACTCCACAAGCAATGGCAGACACAGTGCCTCATCACCCAAAGCCCCCGACCCTGAGGGGCTGGCCCGGCCCGTCTCTCCAGACAGCCCAGAGATCATCAGTGAGCTCCAGCAGTATGCAGATGTGGCTGCCGCCAGGGAATCCCAACAGAGTTCCCCAAGTTCCAATGCCTGCCTGCCTGGACCCCCAGCCCAACTTGTGGACAGCACTGCTGTTCCTGGGACAGCTCTCGGGACTGAGCCTCGACATGGGGGTCATTGCCTCAATAGTTCCCTCTTGGTGACCGGCCAGCCCTGTGGTGACAGGAACCCAGTGTTGGACTTACGGGGCCATAAGCGAAAGTTGGCCACACCACCTGCTGCCCAGGAGTCAGCCCGCCGGCGGTCCAGGAAGGGCCACCTGCCAGCCCCCGTGCAGCCGTATGAACACGGGTATCCAGTTTCTGGCGGGTTTGCCATGCCACCCGTCTCCTTAAACCATAACCTCACCGCTCCCTTCACTTCCCAGGCTGGGGAGAACTCCTTGTTTATGGGCAGTACCCCCTCCTACTACCAGCTGTCCAATTTGCTGGCAGATGCCCGCCTGGTATTTCCAGTGACTACTGACCCTCTGGTGCCAGCAGGCCCCGTCAGTTCCTCTTCCACGGCTACCTCAGTCACTGCCAGCAACCCCACCTTCATGCTCAACCCCTCTGTTCCAGGGATACTACCCAGCTACTCACTCCCATTCTCACAGCCACTCCTGTCCGAGCCAAGGATGTTCGCGCCTTTTCCTTCCCCTGTCTTACCCAGCAACCTTTCACGGGGCATGTCTGTCTACCCAGGCTACATGTCCCCACATGCAGGCTACCCAGCTAGTGGCCTCCTCCGGTCCCAGGTGCCTCCATTTGACTCTCATGAGGTTGCTGAGGTGGGGTTCAGCTCTAATGACGATGAGGATAAGGACGATGATGTGATAGAGGTCACTGGTAAATAGCTGGGGAGCCCCTCTCCACCTCACTTGGGGCCCCCGGCAGGTTGCCCACCAAGCTGAAAGGCAGCAATCTGGGCTTTCTGAGATTGGGCACTTGGCAGGAGGGAAAAGGAAGAGGACAAAGAAAGGTGGTTGACCATAATGGCAGGGCTCTGTTGCTGTTTAACAAAAGAGGCAAAAAAAAAAAAAAAAAAAAAAAAAAAGCCAACAGAGCAGCAATAGTGGGAAATCAGGGACCCAAAACAGGAATGGAGGGGCAGGGCAGCCTGCCTCTCTTCCTGCCTGCCTTGCTTATGCTGTGTGCTTGCTTGCTTGCCATCTGAGTATAGAAGCTCACATCCCATTTCTGTCTTTGGGAACATTCTCTCCCAAGAGAGCTGCCTTACTGGGTGACTTAGCTTGGCCTAGAGAGGGGAGGGGAGGGAAGAAGGGTAAGTGAAGGAGGGTGGGCAGGGAGAGCAGATGGAGATTTCATGTGAAGTGGAGTCCTTTTAGGGGCAGGAAAGAAGCAGACCAGGTATGTGTGTTTGTGTGTGTGCGCGCGTGCATGTGTATGTTTATGTCTATACGTGTATGTAACAGCAGGGATGGAGGTGGGAGGGGAGGGTGGGAGAGACTAAGGGGGAAACTAAAAAATGAATTTATTGTTTTTAAAGTGGAAATAAGAGTGTGGTGGTTCATGGCAACTATTATTAGGAACATTGGGATGAGCCCAGGAGAAGAGCCATGGAACCCATAAGTTTCCTTCTAGTTGGGTGAAAAGAAGGCCCAGCTAATCCAAGTCCCTGGTTATCAGAGCCACATTTATTTTGAATTTAGGGGAAATTATGAGAGAAAATGGGGCATTATCAATCTCTGTATCTTTCCCCAGTGGTTGTCTCTGAGCAGATCTCCCTTCCCAGGGTGTGAGATTGTCTGTGTGCAGAGGCTGGGACAGGGATACTGCGGTATATGAGCAAGAGATCATGGAGTTGTGGCCAGAATAGACCTTCACAAGGATGGAACTGAGCCCCCACCTGCCTATCCTTGTGGCCTTTCCTTTTCCTTTCCTTCCCCTCTAGAAAGCTCCATGTTAATTTATTTTTTATGGGCAATTATTTATTATTCGGACTTTCCTTGTGTCTTGTTTGGGGGGGGGGGGCTGGATTTGGGAAGGGTAGGGAATAGGAAGGGAAATGTTAAGATCTCCCAGACCCCATAACTGCTGGTGAATAAATCCCAGGTAGATGGTGAATTGACCAAGGAAAGAGAGTTAGGCTTGACCAAAGGTTACACTAAACAACTGTGTTTTCGGGAAATGGCCTCTCAGGAAGATCAGAGAATCTTGTGACTGGATAGTTAGTGGGGGTGAGACTCATTCCACAGAGATTGAAACTTGGGATCATGGAGTTTGCTCTTGGGAAGTCAGTGACCCCCAACTTGGAACGATGTCCTCTTCGGATGACCTTAGAGGCAGGCCCTCTGTGCTGAACAGTGAAACTATGCATTGGTGACTGCTGGGTTGAGAGAATAGGCTGTTGGTTTCCTATTGGGAAATGCTGTGGCCTCCTCAGTCTATCAGATGATTACTGTGGGCCTAGTGTTTGTTAGCTCTGTCCTCTGTGAAGGAACACAGAGCAGCCCTTCCTCTATAGGAGCCTTAAGTCTGGCTTTTGTCTGAAAGAATGCATCAGGCATTCTGGGTCTACCTTTCTTGTCAGTGGTGGGGAAAGGGGCATCTAATCTTTAAGTATAAACACTGGCTGTCTTCCTATTGGCTGTTTTTCCCCCTGCTACCAAGACTTTGCTAGGCAGTTCTTTATGATGAACAAACCTGTCTGGCTTTAGAGTTTTGCCACCTATTCATGGGTCATTCCCCACTGAGCAGCTGCTGCACTTGCCTCTTCCCAACTTTGGAGGCAGCTTAGCCAGGTCACCCCTAATAGTAGCTGCTTCTGCAATTCTTCTGACCAGCCTGTTTCCATTGTTGTAGGGCTTTAGCACATTCTGGGGTATTGTCCCCAGAGAAGAGACAAGGAAATGGCTGATGGGGCTGCATGCATGTGTGTGTGTGTGTGTGTGTGTGTGTGTGTGTGTGTGCGCACGCACGTGCGTGCATGCACATGCGCGCGTTTATGTGCTGTCTGGTTGCACCAAAAGTGGAACTTAAGGAGCTTTCACTCTCTGTTTTCATAGGTACCCTGTCAGACACTTAACTCTCCTACTCATAGAAGCCTTAGATCTACAATTTAGCTATGCAAATTATTTTAATGATTTTAAAATAGCAGTTCCAACCAGTGCTTTCTCTTCCAGATGCATCCCAAGAATGGATGCTGAAGGGACTCAGTTGGAGTGGGCTCTCAGGTTTGAGACTGGTGCAGTAGGAGTGAGCTAGCCTGGATCTCTGATTTGCAGAGCACACTCACAACCTGGGCTACAATTGATGCCTCTAAGGCCCCGGAATACTGAGATCCCAGAGACGTGTGTGTGTGTGTGTGTGTGTGTGTGTGTGTGTGTGCGCGCGCGCGCGCGCGCGCGCGTGTATGTGTGTATGGTGTTGGGGAAGGAGGAGTATGTCTGTGTTCACCTCTAGGAAATTATAGCAGCAGGCTCTGAGAATCTGGAAACTATCAGCAAGGAATTGAAACCAGTCACTGGAGGGATGGGTCTCTGAAGGTACCAGGAAGTGAATGGGTATTCTGAGAGGCAGCACATACCTTTTCTCTACCCACCGATTCCAGGGGCTGGGTCTTGTTTCAGGTCAGAAGAGGCAATAGTTTTGGGAGGCTGACCTGGCTAGAGAAGACTTTCTTTGATATGTGCAGCATTTATTGTATAGGGGGGATAGGGTGGGATCATGGGAAATTGGAATGCTACCAGTTTCATGTTTGGGGGTTTTTTGTTTTTGTTTTTTAATCTGAAAAACACTTTTCTGACTTTTCTGCTGTCTCTTTATGTATGCTGGTAGGCAAGTGTGCATGCACACCAAACATGAGCATGTGTGTGAGGGAAGCAGGAAACGTCTCAGAGCCCAAGAACATGTTTTACATGTTTTACAGCCTCTTTGATCAGAAACACTTGGTGGTGGCTTCCACCTGCCATCCGTCCAGGGCTGAGTAAAGGAAGGGTGGTGATATGGGATGGAGGTGGGGGTGGGGTGCAGTAGGTCAGGCCCCTCAGAATTTTCCCTCACCATTGTCTTCCATAGGATGTATTCAAGCCCCATCCATCTGGTTTAGTTAGCCTAAATCCTCAGGCTAGGGTATATAATACTACATTAATGATTCAGGATTACCATTTGTAATGATACCCAATTTCCTTTTCTTAATATCTTTGTGGATAAAAATTGAACCAGAGACAAAGTAGCCATTTCAGTAAGAAAGTAAGTGAACCATGTTGGATCAGATCATCGGATATCTGCCAAGTCCTCACCCCCTCAAGTTATGCTTCTTGAGCATCTATTTCTTTCTGGTCCCTGGAACTCTCTTCCCTAGGAATTAGTGTGTGGTATTTCTCTGTATACTTGTGATTCAAAACTAAATATGAAATTCCCCTCTCTAGGGCATGAAGCAAATAGCTGGGGTAAAGTTTTGCTGATAGGTTGAAACACTCAACCAAACTGTAGCAGTCTGGATGGGACTGTCACTCCCAAAGCTTTCAGCAGAGCAAGGCCCTCGGTTTCAGTCCGTTTGAGCCTAGCGTTGCTCTGGAACTGAGTCCTCATCCCCTGGGGAAAGTCTGGGGGGTTTACATTCCTTATTTCTAGTGTTCCTGGCCATGACCCCCTTCCTCCCACTTTGTTTCCTGTGATTTCTCAGGAAACCAGTTTCCCTTCTGAGCCATGGCCTCCTGTGCACTCAGCTAAGTCATTCTTTCCCCAAAAAAACCTCCTCTGAGAGAAGAGCTCTTAACCCCAATGGACTCACAGAAGACTTTCTGGCCCTCCTCTAACTTGTTCCCAGGAAATCTGCACCTCAAGGCCTGAGAATGCTGCGCTTTCCATCAGTCACCTTCAGACTCTGTCCCCTTCTACTGACTCTTCTGCCCTACGTGTTCCAATGTGACTCCTTCATGTCTCTTCTGTGCCACTAGCTTGGCCCTAGGCCTTTTATGAATACCCAAGTCTTAACGATGAACTTCCCAAGCAGGCAGTGTCCAACTTCTTCACTCTTCAGGGACCTGAGTCTGCCCCTTTCCTTTCACAAGTTAGTTGGTTATAGTAATCCAGTGCATTGGGAAGAGGTAGCCAGGTAGGCTGCAGAGTCTAGTGCAGAGGGCTGGGGAGATTTGGATACTCTGTTACCACTACTGGGATGATATTCTGAAGAGGGGACCTCATACTGTGACCTGACCCAGGACCCTCCTCTGGAAGAGAGCTCAGCCCAAGTGTGTATGTGCATGAGTGTGTGTGCGTGTACATGGGTGCGTGCGTGTGCACGTGCGAGATAGAGTGTGCACTCATGGGCATGGGTGTAAACTGTTATCTGGTTGTGTTACTCAGGGTGGGCTGGGGGCTCACAGGAAAAAATCCCCCTCAGCCTGCCCAAGACTGGTTTTTTTCCTGTACCCTCTCTAGAAGGGTCAGGGGAAGGGTCCAGGTGGGTTGAGGGGGTCGCAGTGGATAACCACTGAGGCCACACTGCTGCCGGGAAGAGTAGGGGGATATGAAATGGCCCCAGGGACCTGGCACTTGGCTTTGGTTTTCCATCTTCTTTCCTCAGGATGCCCCCTGAGGCCTGGGACCTGCTGCACCTGGCTTTGAGGAGCATCTGTGGCTGGGTGCTCCAGCTGCTGGTGTGATCATGGGCTTCCCTCCTCTCTCATCAGGGCAGGTGCTCCTGCCCCAGAGACTGGGCAACTGGCTGTTTCTATGACGTATTTATTTTTACTTGTGTTTCATGTCACTTTTTTAAAAAAGCAAACAGAACAATTGTAAGTCAGTATAACTGCCTATCAGTTTTCTTTATTTCTCTTTTTGTAAAATAAAATTTAAACTCAAGAAGGCAGTGTTGTTTGATCAAGGAATTGTCTGAACAGCTATTTGGCTGGATGGTGGTGAAAGGGATATAACCAGAGTATAGTGGACACTGAGATGCCACTTGGGTTTGGTGGGTTGGGAGAGGGAGGTGGGAATAGAAGGCAGACTGCTGGCAGGCTTTGTTGCAGTGGGGTTCACTAGGCTTTTTCTGCCTTTGCTCACTGAAGAAAACCACATTTCCAGGCTATAAAGGAAACAGTGAAACTGACTCAGAGTAGTTTGAGGATAGATGGTCCTCAATCAAGGCAAGTCCTGTTGGCGCAGCCCTAACCAGAGTGGGTGGCTGGGGATTAGGTACAGCGTGCATGCCTTCAGAGGGTGGGAGATGGCTGGTGGCAGGGTCTGCAGACCATCTTACACTGTATATGTCCTCTCCATTTGTCCTCTGAGTTAGTGATTCTAACCACTGCCTCACCGAATTAGCCAGGCTTTGGAATATGAGGAGATAAGGGAAGGTGGGAGTAGTCCACCCTTTGTCTCTCCAAGTTTGACCCCTGTAAGGGGAGGAGCCCTAGGGAAACAGTCTCTGGAAGTTTACTGGAGGAGAATTAAAGAAGCTCTGTGGGGATTTCTTGGACAGAGAAAGGCAGGAGGGAAAAAAGGCTAAATACGGGCTCATGAGAGAATATATGTTACTGGGGGAGAGAACTGGGAGTGGAGTGTGGGTAGGGCAGATGGCTAGGTGAACATGTCAGCTTTCACCTGTTTCAAAAGGGAAGAGGAACAATTCACTTGGTAGCTTGTCTTGGCTGCTGCCTCCTGGTGGCCAGCAGAGGTCTTGTGGAGATCCCTACCAGGGTTGGGCTTGCTCAGTTGGGAAGCTGACAGAGATAAAGGAGGTGGGGGGGGGGTCTTCTGGCCAGCAGCCTCAGTCTCGGGCTGACTCTCACAACAGAGGCGGTGAAGTTCCTAAGGCACACCCTGAACTATGAGTTGGCCTTTGGAATTCCCCAACCAGCCTGAAGGAAGTGAGCAGAGAGGGCAAGAGGAAAGGCAGCTCCATACAACGGGTTTCCTAGGAGAAGCTCATCAGATTCTGAGAACAAGAAAAATGCCCCAGCAAATATGGGCAGAAGCTGTATGGTCTCTGAACCATGAACTGGCCCTTGTCTCACAGGAAATGGTTCTAAGTGTATAGCCCACTTACCTGGAACACTTAAAGGATTTGATCATGTATTTGATGTCCATAAGCAAAACAACTGCCATGACCCTGCCAACCCAACCTTGAGTGCCTGTGAAAGGCCAGCTGCTCTTTCTGCCAGTGTTTGTCTGGAGAGCTGAGGTCAGTCTTGGCCCTGTGGATGAGGGTCATCCTTTCCTGCCTGTGGAAGGAACTGTGTGAAGTGGTGGGAAAGGAAGCCAGGATTATGAGTGCCTCTGTGCCCACTCTGCCCTTTGCTAGTGCAGCAGTGGGATCCACTTTAAGATGATTCCTCTTCCAATAGCAATCTTCCGTGTCAGGAGCACCAAGTTAGCTCTTGGCCCAGCCTGTCTTGTAGCCAAGCTTAGGAGCATAGTTGTCCCATCCCCTTGCCCCTCCACTGCAGGACTGGGCCTCTCAGGAGGGCAAAGTTTGATCTTTGGGGCTCTAGAAGAGTGCTTTGTAGTTTGTAGGTCCTCGGAAATATGAGCTGAAGATTCAACCTATGTTCGAGGAGCTTACACTTGATCTGGGAGTTACCTAGAACACTTTTAACTAGAAGGGCAGACCAGCCTCCACCCAAGCACATCCTGGGCTCAAGAGAAAGGAGCCCGGAGGGGGGCGGTTCCTGGTTAGCTCCAAGGGGGCGGGGCGTTGGTTTTGCTCACTCAGTATCCCCAATCCCTAGAACTATCTTGGCAGAGAGCTTACTGAATAAGTGTTGGGTGGATGAATGACCAATGAATGACCACTCCTGTGCTCTGGTTAGGGGTGCGGTGGGGTGGAGTGTTGGGAGACATGACTGACACTTGCGCTGTTCCAGAGGTTGGATCCGCTCGCTTCTTCCCTGAGTCCAAGTTGGGCGTCAGTTTCCTCGGTTGTAAAAGGGGGGCAAGTAGCCTTGCCTTGCTGGGTTCCCAGGTCTGCCGGGAAGCTTCAGTGAGAGAAAGTGGCAAGACGAAGTGTGATACAAATAAATGCCAGAGGCGGATACTGCTGTGCTGAACTTCCCAAGCCTTTTCAAACGCTTCACTCTGGTGCGGTCTTCCCTGTTGGAGCCCAGCCCAGCTCTCTACTGTGACCCACCACGCTGACTGCCATCAGCCTCCCACGACTGAGGCCCGGTAAGTTGTGGAAGGCGGGAAGGTGCTCAGCGGGCTCCGCCCCCGACGGCTGGGGAGGAGGGGAATGGGCGCCGCTCGTTGCTATGGAGACTGGGCGGGGCAGGCCTCCGCCCTCCGGGTCCCGCGCGCGCGCGCACGCGCCCACGGCCACGGCCACGTCCCGCCGCGAGAGGGGCGGAGCGAGCGTGCGCGGCGGGCGCGCGCAGGCTCCGCGACCTAGCCCGGAGCCGCCTGCGCCGATCGGCGTCCGCGGCGGGCGGCCGCTGAGGTGAGGGCCGAGCCGGAGGAGAGGCGTCCCCGCCGGGGCGGCCCCACGCGCGCCGAGGGCCTGGAACCTCCGTCCGCCTGGGCGTGGCCTCAGGGGCCCCCGCGTCCCCTCCGTGATCCTCGCGGCCCAGGCCGCTCTTTGCATCTCGTCTCACCCGCAGCTGGCCCTGACCCGGTCCAAGGGCTCAAAGGTCTTGGACCAGTCCACCACCCCGGGCCGCCCTGCTTCGGCCTCCGGTGCGGGGCACGCCCCGAGGCAGTGAAGCCGGAGCGGGGTGTGGGGGTGGGGAACTGAGGCCAGAACCGCACTTTAACTCCGCCCCTGCCCCTGGAGGCCGCGCCTCGCAGCGGTGGCTACAAACTTTAGCGTCTCTTAACTCGGGGAGGTGTGTGAGGCCCGGTGAGGTCGTGGCTGAAAAGAAAGGTTCTGGGTAAATACGCGAGGTGCGGGTGAGCAGCGCTGGAAGCCCAGAGTGGGAGGCGGCGCGCCCCCTTCCCGCTCAGGCCACTCAGAACCCCGGTCTGTCTGCTCTCCGCCGGCGCCGAAGTTGAAAGGCCTGGCCCGCTGCCGCGGCGCAAGTGAGCAGCCTCAGGAAGCCGGCGCGGGACAGCCCGCCCACAACCCCGCCGCCTGAGGCGCCCACCCCCGGTCTCCGACCTGAGGAGACCCTGAAGCCGGAGGGGGACAGCCTGCCCCGTGTCAGCGGCCGGGGCTGTTTCAGAGCCAGGTGCGGTGGCCGGAACCCTCCAGGAAGAGGACTCCAAGAACGGGGGCATGAGCATGGCCCCACTCTGAGTTGACCTTCCGAGGCCCAGTTGGGCTTCTGATTTCCGTAAGGGGTAGGAGGACGAGGTAGAGGTGCAACCTTGTGGTGAAGAGAGAGTTATTGTAGAGGCCCTAGTGGGCTTTCCCTGAAAAGGGAACAGTCAAGGCAGGGGTGCCCGGCTCAGTGGTGATTTTCTCTCTGCCCCCAGCACTGGAGCACTTGAAGCACCTGGTCCCTGCGGCGCTGGATGCTATGAGTTGCTAAAGTGAGCCTGTCTTTTCAGGTGAGCTTCCCCAGCCCTCCTCCTGCCCTTTCTCTGGAATATGGGGGAATTCACTTTTCCCTGCCTCAGTCTTGTGCAGACCTAAGTTCTGGGATCCCATTTTCCCCTCTCTTCTGGGTAGTTCAGGAGGTGAGAGGAAGAGGGAGGTGGGAACTGCGTTGCTTTGAGGAGGATGGAGAGTGTGCAGCAAAGAGGGTAGGTCAAATGAGGGATGGTCACTCTCAAGGCAACTGAGAGACCTAGCTGCTGAGTGAGAGCTCCCAGCTGAGAGCCTTGGGTTCAGAGATGTCCCAGCATGGATCAAATGCTTGAGGAAACCCTGTCATCGGGAAGGAGAATGTGGAAATGGATCTGGATTCAGACTGCTTGGATTCCCATTGCCTGCATTTTAGTCTGGGGCTCTATTTAGTACCTGTGTGACCTTAAGCAAGTCTCTTAACCTCTTGATTCATACCTATCTATCTTGTCTTGAAGATTAATAAAGTAGCTGTGTTTCAACATTTAGATAGTGCCTGGCATATAGTAAGTACTTGGTGAAAGATTTATCATCATCATTATCACCAAAGAGAACAGGAATGAAATTAAGTGGAGGCAAAATGCATCCAAAAAGAAGCACAACTGTGGGGCAGGAACACATATGGGTAAGAAGACCAATGTGATGCACCTCAATGTTAGGACATCAAAGATGTAGGAGTTTAGTTTGCCTCTTTATGAGGCAAACATTATGTGTACATTGACTCCAAAGAATTTTTCAGTAAAAAAAAAAAATTGATTCCCAGAACCCACAGGGTACAAATTATTCCACAGAACTAAGTTTTCTATAGAGCTGAAGTGTTGTCTTGCAGCTCCCAAATCTTTTGAATTTTAAATTCTTGGGGTGAGAATGTTATGTTCCTCTAGTGGGTCATATGTTTCCCTTCCTCTTTAAACAGTCTTCTCTGTGCTGTGATTTTCTTTTCCCCCCTGGGTGATTCAGGTCAAGCCCTCTGTATAAGAGGTTTAGACTTCTGGCCCCAACCTTCATGGAGGGCTGAATGGTCTGCCTTAAATGGCTCACATACCAGCCTCTGTTGTGTTCTGGGCCTGCTCTTGGATAGCTTCTCTGCTTTTTTTTTTTTTTTTTCTTTCCTTGATATGAATGTCTTGTACTACACAAAAAGGAATGAGGAAAGGCCAGTGGAGAGGAGGGGCAATTGTCAGGTAAACAACATAAACACAAAAAAGAAAAAAAGACTCCCGCACCTCACCTCATGCCTTGCTGTGAACTATCTAGTAGAGGAGGTGGGGTGGCAGGATCAAAACCACAAAAAAATTCCAAACACCTGGAGATGCTGGTGGAGGGGAAGAATAAGGCAGCAAGTGGCCCCAGCTGTTACTCCCCCGATGCCAGCACCCTTTCCCCATGGGATGAAGTGCTTGGGCCAGGGAGTAGTAATTGTTCTCCCTGGTGTGTTTCCATTTCTAGCAAACTTTCCTTCCTCCCCCTTGTTTCTAATCTATGGGCTGAAAAAGTGGGGGTGAAGCTTGTTAGCACCAGTGGCTCAAGTCTGGGCAGCACAGTGCTGGACTTTGTTCTGGCTGCTCAGGCTGGTTTCATCTTTCCTTGGTTCTGGATAGATGAATTGGCTGGATAACAAGATTCTGAGGGACAGATGTGCTTTAGCAAAGGAGAGTTTCCTGTGAGAGTTTCTTCCTGGGTCATTTTCTCCCTGGGGTTTTTTCCTTATGGTTTCCCTATTTTTTGATAAATGATTGGGCCTAGCACTTGCCCATCTTCCCCTTGGCAGTGGTCCATGAGGCCTGGGGAGGCTGGGCAGGCAGTGTGGCAGTGTGTGGGAAGGAAGAGGTAATGTAGGGAAAAGGCAGCCTGGCTGACATCTTGCCCATCTTGGGGAGGCTGGTCAGTGCTGGAAGTATGTCCCTGGCTGACTCACTCCTGTGCTCCTCTATGACTCAGTTTCCCCAGGTGTGACCAAGGCTGCCAGCTGACAGGCAGAGCTGCTCTGAGAGCCTCAACAATTGTGATTAAGAAATAAAGAGGCTTGTGGCTTCAGTCATCCTTTATAGCTCTCTTCTGGGTCACTCTGTGTGTAAACACCCTGGCTCCTCCCCCTCCTGGGTCAGAGCACCCAAGGCAGGACTGAGGTTGGGCCAGAAGTGGTTGGCAAGCAGGTGGGGACATTGGTCAGAGCAGGCTACCAGCCTCCTCTCCCTCCTGTCTCTTTTGCAGCTGTCTTGGGGCACGGTGTGGGGGGCACAGAG